ATTAATTGAAATATCAGTTGCAAGGTTTCGCAGTCTTGACTCTCTCGACTGACTTGTGTAATTTATGGTCACTTAGCGACTCAGAAGACAATCGATGGTCCGTCAAGCAAGGATTGGAGAGGTGGAAAGCGGCCCCGTTCAATATTATACCTAGCAGCACCGGAGCTGCCAAGGTAATTAAATCAATAACTAAGTGTGAAGTTATGGTGGTACACTATGTTTCATTTCTAACTTTGTTATATTGTTTCCGCTAATACAATAACAACAAACTAACATTTATTCTCAATAAATTTGGAGGTAAGTTACATGAATTCAGTCGAGTGATTTGTTTGTTGTTGTGCAAGCTGTTGGCAAAGTGCTTCCGTCCCTGAACGGAAAGTTGACCGGGATGGCATTCCGAGTCCCTACTGTTGATCCATCATTCTTATTCAGGTCGAGCATTTTTTATGCCAAGGCTGGGATTGCTTTGAGCAAGAACTTCGTTAAACTTGTCTCTTGGTATGATAATGAACGGGGTTACAGGTAAATATCCATCTTTCTTTTATTCAATTCGTCTAAACTTGTGCCAATCTTTGTGTATGGTTTTATTGACATCAATATTATATTTCATTGCAGTTCTCGCGTTATTGATTTGATCCGCCACATGGCTTCTGTTCAAGCTTGAGACGGGATCAGAACGATGTTAAAAGAACATAACAGTTTTCGTCAAGTCTTGTATTTCCTTTCTGGCCTCTCAAGGTTGTAGTTGTTTTAGTTGATGTTGAATAAAATCTAGATGTTGTTGGGAATCTATTTAACATGAGTAGCGAAAAATTAAAACAATTTTCAATTTCCACCAAGGATCCTTCTGTATTTATATAAAAATTGTGATAAAAAATTAAATCTTTTACGAGATCTGCAAACTTTTTAGTTTGATTCTGCAAACTCCTTTGTAATTCTTTCGTCCCAACAACCTTGATCTGCCACCTACAGCTGTCCAATTGTACAGCCTTCAATGGTGATCCACGCAGAGAACAATATTGTAAGATTAGGATTTTCTTTCTTGTGCTAACAAGAAGAATGAATTTTTTCTACAAATTTTGAAAATCCTAGTCATATTTACATAAGTCCAAACAAGTTTGGCGTGACCCGTTTCAATATTTAATTAAGGAAAAATTTCATAAGTAAGAGATTAATTATAGCACATTTAAAAAAAAAAAAACAAGTTTCAAATTTCAAAAATCAGATCTTTATTAAAAATTATTTATAATTTAATTAATTAATTAATTATTTTATTAATTAAATATATTTAAGTCACAGATTTATATATTTTGGTCACAAATTAACGATTTAATTTATCACTTATTATTTTTTAATCACAAATCAGAAATTTTATGTCACAAATTATTATACGATCACAGTTCAAAAATTTTATAGGTCACAATTTGTTCATCAATCACAAATCGAAAAATTTATTAGTCACGATTTATTTATTAATCACAAATCACAAATATTACAACAAATTATCGAATTTTCGTTCACATATTAACAATTTTTTAGGTCACACATTATTTTTCGATCACAATTTATCTTTTTCATTTGTCACAGATTAACCAATTTAATATACAGTCAACCAAATAATTTGTGACCACTACCAACACTTACGATTCACAGTCACATTTTTCATGTCACGTATCCAATTGTGAGTCACGGTTATAATTTTCAGGTCACGTATCCAATTATGAGTCACAAATCAATCAAACTGCCACAACCAACTATGAGTCCCAAATTGTGAGTTACAATTTCAAGTCATGGGTCCAATTATTTGTCACAAAATCAACCAAACCGCCACAACAACCACAGTCACCTTTGCATCACTGCCTTATTCATCACTAGTTGCAGCACGAGATCTACCAGCACCATTTCACCTATTACCACAACCTCTGTACCACCGCTACGAAGACTACCACCACCAGCAACACGAGATCCACCAACACCATCACCAATAAAACCACCTCACCTGTAACCACCGATCAAAAAATCACCACCACTTTAATCACACCATCACTGATCAAAAAATCACCACTGATCCACACCACCACTGTAATCACCACCATCGATCCACCACACACCAAACTCAAAACCATCAATCGCAAAACCACCATAAAACACCACAAACTCATCAGAAAAAGAAACACCACAAACCACACAATCAATCTCCACCGCCACACACAGCGGCGCTTTGAGCTACAAACGTTGATGACGCTGCTGTGCGCCTTAAATAGCGACAACACCACCTCTTACGAGCAGAGGCGAGGTGTGACCAGCCACAGTCCTTCTTCCCCTTCGGTGACTACAGATCGACTATGTTGATGGCCAGAGGCATTGGGAGCCTAGCATCGGCGGTGCTCCGGTGATGGCACAGTTGCGACGATGAGAGAGGTAAGAGAGAGAGAGACGTGAGATAGATTGTGAAATGGGTTTGAAATTGTTAAATTAATTAATTTTTAAATATATTAATTAATTAGAAATATTTCTAATATGTGAAATACTAAACATGGTATCTTATTTATGAAATTGGAATAATTAATCTATTAGAATGTGCAATTTCCACTTTAATTAACCCATTTAATTAAATTCGCTCAGTGAATAAATTAATCCGATTAATTAATTCAGGCATATAAATACGCAACTCAATTAATTAATTTATCTAATGTTAGTTAAATTAATTAATTGACAAATTATAATCTTTCAGTTCTCCTTTTGTGTGCAACCCATCAGGCTCCCGATCACGATGCCTAACGACATGAAATATTATTTTGATCTAATCAAAATTGATAAATTAAAACACTATTTTAATTTATCACCAATTCACATTTGCCGTCCCAGATTAACATTTAGCAATGTGTCAGAGCAATACATGTGACGAAAAATGTCACGTAATATGACAAAGCCAAATTCGTTCGTTTATCGTGAAACTATAATCCCTTCGTCAATATGATTCGATAATTACGAGATATGAAAGTATGTCAATTTCGATTATTGATCATATCTTTCACTCAACTATTAAGTCAATATAAGTAGTAAACTCATTTTCGACTTATGAGTATACCTTGATCAAGGATTTCGTTATCGACTTAATTGAATAAAATGCAGATCATAATCTCTTACTATCTAAGAGTAACGAATCATATATTAATCATTCACAACCTTCGTATGATTCTTGATATACCCGAACGATGTCGTATTAGCGGTTCTTGGTTGAGCAACATCCAACACCTTCAAAACATGACTGTCCTCATATAAGGTACTATGATGACTTCAAGTCAAATGACCAATCCCACTACCGAACGTTAGAGATTAACCACTGACACTCAAATAGTTATCCATGTGAAATTTTTCGGCAGGTTTCCAATATTTTGTTATATAACAAAACATTCACATGTTCATTTAATTGTCATCACACTTTAGCTTGTGGTAACCAATCCCACTACCGAACATTAGAGATTAACCGCTGACACTCAAATAGTTATCCATGTGAAATTTCTCGACGGATCTCCAATGTTTTGTTATATAACAAGACATTCACATGTTCATTTAATTATCACCACACTTTAACTTATGAAATCAGCTACTTACTTTATAAGAAATGTCACACATGATGGTCTATTGGTAATATCAATATACGTAGCTCGTTATTACTTACGACCACTGAGGATTTAAGATTCAATCAGATGTAATTTGTATCTCACAATCTCAACTCCTTGTGATTAACAAATTATCAAGATTTGAATTTACGGACTCAATTATTTAATTTAATTGAATATTAATTAAATAGATCTGTCATAAAATGCATCAATTATATATTAAAAGATGTTCAAAATTGTTTGGACCTAGGACAGAACACTTACAAATGCACCTGTACTGCAGCTAGGGTATAGCTCGTGGATTTATTCCGAGTCATTGTGAAAAAATTTCTCTCTTTTGTGAATTGAGAATGAAATTTTACTAGAAAATTTTCCTGTCTAGCATATAGGAAAGAATTTCTTTCTGTTTCATGTGAATTTTCAAGGCACGGATGACTCGTGATCGTTCTTAGGTGGATTCTTGGGCATGTTAGCTGGTTTAAGGCTATCTTTTCCGATGTTTTTTCTTTCCAGTAATTAATATTTCAAGACGTTTCTTCCTCCCACTATGCTTGTAGTTGAACTTAGGCCCGTCTAGTCAAAGCCAAGGCGTTTACTTATTGTTAAGAATAATTACTTTTATTTAATAGTTTATTCAACTTAGAAATATGAAAAAAAAAAATTAAAATAAGTCGCGCGCCTTTTGATGCCTAGGCCGCATTAGTTGCGGTGGTTTTTAATAAAATTGACCCTTTTTTCGTGCCTTTTCCATGTGTGTAAACTCATTCTTCATGCATAGGCATATCATGTCTTTTCTTGCCATTTAGAACAGACTAAAGAGAGGTGTTGTATATACAGATATAGACACTTTACAGACGACACACAACTCATTTTTTGGCACTATTTTGTTCCACATGAAACCCACTCCCATATGAGACTTCTATAAGGCTTTTATCAAAAAAATTCTGTAGAACTAGAATTATTGCAGGCTAAAACCCCAAATTATTCTCTTGATTAACCTTTTTTTTTAATGCTTTATCATTTATTCTTCAAAAATGCCCTTAACCCATGCTAGATTAATTTTTCCTCTCCTTTTAATGCTTTGGAGGATTATTATTTATTCTTCAGCAAGTGCCCAGGCAAAATTAACGGTATCAACGGGATCAGACCAGAACCAATCAGACCAGAATCCGGTGGTTCGATACTGGTTCTAAGAAATAAATAATCATTTTTGGTGCTTTGTACCATGAAAAATGTTTCTTGTCATCACCATTTACATAATCTTCTACCAATTGATGATGCGTCAAAAAGAAAGTGGAGTGGAAAAACTCTTTTATTTTTTTGTCATAATTAAATCATTTCACATCATTTGTCATTTGTTGATAAACAAATGTGTAAGTTGAAATGTACATGCAGCACAATCAATCGAAGTGAAGGTTATGCTTACATTGTTCTCGAGATAGAACAAGAGAAGAAAAAATATCATTTGGTTTATCGTTTCCTTCATAGCCCATATTCTAGATACTAGGACTGTAAATGTATTCAATGCAGCAGCAAAGAGAGTTGTATAAACATCAATTAACGAAGCTCAAAACTCGCCTACGACTAGTTTGTTTCATAGTCAAGAACTGCGTACAAATTTAGTGGAGCTGGTTTGTGCATTTCCCTCGTCCATACCTCTTACATCACCATACCTCCATCAATGGTGTATACCTGCATGTAACAACAAACAACAATTAGGAGGGGACGGAAAAATTCCTAGCCATTTAGAACAAGTTCAAAAGGTTGAGGAGAGTTTGAGTGCAGTCAAGTCTACAAGAATGATCGTTAAAGTAGTGTTTGGTAGGAACAGAAGGGAGAGACAGAAAATACCCATTTCCATCCTTTTATGGGTCAAATGCTCATTTCTCTCATATTTTTTGTGATAGACGGAAAGTAGTTGCATGTTTGGCAAAGCTTAAATTATAATTCAGTTGATTAAACATACTTTTTATCCACACAATTCGTAGAAATCACAACTACTATCAATGCACGCATTCTGTACGACCCACATCCTATAATCACTTAAATTTTAATCTAAGCACTTCCAATAATGCTCTAGAGATTAGGAATGGTTGTTTTAAGTCTTTTCCTTCCTCTTTTTTCTCCAACATTTAAACAACAATAGGAAGCTAATTTCCACTCCTAATGAAATCGCATGAACTTGGGGAAATTAAAGCTTCTTTTGAGCGTCATGACAGAAAGGAACTCGGGAGATTAGAATGTTTCAAAAACCTGTCCTGTGATGTAACTGGCAGCAGGATTAAGGGCCAAGAATTCCACGAGTCCAGCAACTTCTTCGGGTTGGCCATACCTTCCTGAATTAAGAGTAACAGGCTATTCATCATAACAGTCAAATATCAACATTATATACAATCTAACACGTCAAAGAGAATGAATTTTACAAGGCAGATAAAATGCCAAGTAGATTGTATCATAAAGTAACTTGGATGCGGAAATTAGTTGTCTATAAACAACTAAAATCTATTCAGATAGTTGACTATCTATTCTGATATTATAAAGAAAGGCAATTTCGTGAATGACAAACAATGAAACCGCAGCCAAATGGATGGATTGAGTTATATATGATCAAATAGATAAATTACTCAACCTAATGGAATAGTCTCCAAAATTTTTTTCTCAATGTCTGCCCCAAGCTTAGCAGTCATATCAGATGCAATGAACCCTGGAGCAACAGCATTTACCTGTCAATTGAAGCCTTAATTAAATTTAAAGCGTCCCAAATTAATGTAATGTAGTTGCATCTCTAAATGAAATCAACTTATTTCGAAACTCACATTTATACTCCTACTTGAATATTCCTTGGCAACTGACTTTGTAAAGCCGATAACGCCAGCTTTTGCCGCACTGTAATTGGCTTGCCCAACATTGCCAACAAGACCTACAACTGATGCTATATTGACAATCCTTCCCTGCAAAATCAGTTGACCATTTATATTAGTCTTGAGACCAAGACAAAAAACAAATTTATCCAGTTTTTTTGGTCTACATATAAATTATAACAGTGGGTTCAGAGAATTCTGCACATATAATTAGCCAAGATGCTTGAATGTAGAAAAGTTCAGTTTTGTAATTGAAAAAAATGTTCATTGTATACTCTCCCACAAAATAATAAATAAAAAGAATATTAGGGCTAGGCTCCCCCAACCTTTCAAGTAGTGTTAGTAATTGGTCCCCGACAGCCCAAACTTAAAAAGTGAGATTCTAGGTCCCTAACATATACAGCGCTGTGATTGAGTCCCTAGTTCAGGGAATCTATTTATTCAACTGTCAATATTTTTATTAGAATGACTATTATACTGTTACTCTAAAATAGATAAAAATACTCTAAAATAGATAAAAATAAGAGAAAAAAGAAAAAGAAATATTCCTGCCAAAAGAGCTAAAAAAAATAAAAATAAAAAAGAAACCGTCTTCTTCCCACCACCACCAGTTCTGCCAGCCTCATTCCTCCCACCAACTCCCCATTTTCAGTCGCTACCTTCTCCTCTACCACCAACTACTGCATTAAAGCCACCAACCACTGCGGAAGAACCACCTCCGGCAGTCGCAACAATATATCCACCACAAGTTTGCAAAATTCATTCCCCACTGGCACTACACCAATCCATCTTAAAACTGGAGACAATTGGTACAAATGAACCAGATTTGAACCAAACCAGAAAACTTATCATGAAATGGTACAAAGTCACACATGATTCCAAACAATTAATTAACGAACATCAGTGGTACAAATCCATGATGAAGATTAAGAAATGGAGAACAGGGATGTAAAAGCTTCAGCTGAGCGCCTGTGAACTAGGGTCCTAGACTAAGAGCATGTTTGGCAAAAAACGCTGCTAGCTTACAAGCGGAGGAACCATAAACTTGTGTAAACCGAAATCCACACAACAGTGGGTGCTGCAGCTTATAAGCCAGAAAAGTTGGAAAGCTAGCAGCTTTGTTTGCCAAACATGCTCTAAGACTATGTTTGTCTAAGCTGAAAAAATAATCAAAATTTATTTTAAAGTCACTTTATGCTTTCAATATGTTTGGATAACGTACTTTTTTCTTACTTTTAAGTAAAATGTTAAATATTTTGAAAGTAACTCTAACATAGCCGTCTAAATCAGTAATGTGCTTACTTCCAATTTTGATCAATAAAAAGAATTGTGCATCCTAGAACAAACTTAATAAACTGTTTAAGCTTCAATAAGCTCTAACTAGCATTAGAAATGACAGAACACAAGACGGGAGTACCTTTCTCTTCTTCATCATTAGTTTGGCAGCTGCCTGCAGAGAATGAAGATCTTAGATCAAATATGTGATTTTAATTATCTCTGTCTTCATATTAATAGAGTTTTAATAACTTGCCTGCGTGCACAAGAACACCCCGGTAAGATTTAGATCAATAACCTCCTGCCACTGCGATGTCTTCATTTTCATCAATAAACCATCCCTTGTAATACCTAAAACCGTTGCAAAAACTTAAAAGATAATGGACTCAAAAACTAGACATGCCACCATATAAGATTAAACTTTTGGTACCAGCATTGTTAATCAAAACATCAACAGTTCCCCATGAATCAACTGCCTGCAAATGTCCCAATAACATAAGATTAACATAATAACATGACATGTGATATAAAAACTTAAAAACTAGGAACAGCGATTGCTAACAGTTTTAATCATTGAGTCAACATCTGCTTCTTTTGAAACATCCCCACCAAAGGTAAGAGCCTGTCCACCAAGTACCTCAATCTGCAAGACATAGTATAGTAGGCAATTCCCAATCACTATTTATTTTTTAATAATACAAATGAACAGTGTTTAGTGTTACAAACATATTGTTAAATGCTGACAAGTTCATTGACGCATGACCTTTATTTTTTTTCTTTCTTTTATTCCTTTTGCTTTCAGCTCTTGTTTTTCCCAAAAAAATTAAAAAATAAAAAATAGTCATGTTGCTCAGACTTGAGCAGGGGTATTGAGTACAAGAGCAATCTAAATGTAAGACATGAGGATTTGGTCAAACTTGACTTCAGACATGGTACGGGGACGCATATTTTGTAGTAGTAGGTACAAATCGTGTGGGTCACTGAACTTCAATTTTAATAGCAATTTACTTCATTTGTATGATGTCAAACAACGTAATAAAAGTTCTCAGATATGGACGATAAAACTAATGGCCGTTGAAATGGCCTTCCACGTGGACTATCCTAATGTCTATTCACATCCACATCAACACCAAATTAAAAATCCAATACCCTATTGAAACCACGAAGCCATAGTTCTTTTACACAAAAAAGGGAAAATCAGTTCAAGATCATAAATGAACCTAGAAAGCTAAACATATGATACACACACATATATAGCAGGTATGCAAAATCAATCTAAATATAACACTGCTCTACTGGCACATCGAAGAAGAAGGGGCTGCATTAATATGGATTTTCTTGGATAAAATAAAGGAGAAGAAACCCACACAATGAGTAATTTTGCCTTGACTATAAGCAACACCATTCTGATTTGATCCCTTATTCAGTTTGTCTTCTACTTGTGGAGCCTTTTCTCATAAACCTCAGCAAAGGCAGCACCAGCCATTGTCATGGCTTATTCAAGAAACACAAAACCCAGCAAAAAATTGAATCCGGTGATGATTTAGAAATTTGGGTTGGAATTAATTGAATGAATTGAATTGGTGCTTTTCCCCTTTTCTATGTAAGACCAAGCAAAAAAATCCAACCTTTCTTGTAAAAGAACACTGAACTGGGTATTGGGTTTTTAACATTACTGCTGATTTGGATGTGAATGGGTATTGGAACAGTCTACATTGGGGGGGGGGGGGTTACTTCAGCAGCTGTTAGTTGTAACTGCCAGGTCAGCAAATGGGACTTAATTGCTTTGAAAATGTAGTTCATTGACCCGATTGCTGGCCATTGAAGTTTAGAGACCCAATTGCTGGTGGGATAAAAGTTTAGAAACCTCCAGTAAAATTAACCCCGAAGATTTGGTCAAACTTGACCTCTGGCATGGTAAGGGACACATCTTTTGTAATAGTAGCTAAACTAGGAGGCTCTAAAGATGTTTCACATAAATCGGATATATATATATATATATTTCTTTTGTCATAAAATAAAAAAATAAAAATAAAATTTCATTCATGTTCATTTTCAATTGAAAATGTTATCACAATTACTTTTTGTTCTATGTTTTTCAATAAATTCAAGTATGTGATATCAATTTTAGTAAATGAGGCGTGCAACAATTTTGTTATGCTTGAAAGTCCTCATAGCTGTAGAAAAGTTGCAGTGTTTCCTTCTTGCCCTTTTAGGAGTGGCAATGGTCGTAGTGTAAGGTTGATTGAGGGAATGATAATTTTTTATTTTATTTTATTTATTTATCTTTTTAGAGTGAGAAAATCGTTCGACAATAATTGTTCAAAGCAATGCAGGAAATATACTTCTGAATAACTATGATAATATAACACCCATAGTTTAATTGTTTAATCATATCAAATGCATTACCTCTCTGCAGACATCTTCTGCCTCCTTTGATGACCTTGCATAATTCACCAAAACCTGCAATAAAATCAAAATCAACTTTTGCAAAAGGAAAGGTGAAGTGGAAATCGCCACACTATAAATGCACAGCATGGTAATAAAGATTTAATAGAAAAACAAATGGTACATCGCTACGTGCCTATGGACTAACTTCTAGCCCAGAGCAACAACTTCTCATTTCATAGTGGTATAAATAGTGATTATATAAGTTCACTAGTATTAAGCTAATGGGAATTACAAAATGTCTAAGGAGTCTTCAGAAACAGCAACAGCAACAACAACAATGGACTAAACCCCCAAAAAGCTTTAACAAGATACCCTTTAAGTCACTTTACAAAATATTTATATAACATAAGAACATAGATTAAAAGTGACAGTACTCATCTTTTCTTTTAGGAACTGCACTGCTATATGATAAAAAGGTACCATTCAAGTCAAACTCAAAGAATTCGATTATGTACACAATTGGGAAATATATACCCTACATAGTGTATAACCTAAGCAGAAGCCTTGATTGCTGATAAGATTCAGAAACTACCTTACAACCAGCCTTCCCCATAGCCAAAGCAATTGCTTTACCAATTCCTCGGGAGGCTCCTGTGACAATAACAACAGGAGCCTCTGCCTGTTGTGGTGCATCAGTACTTGCTTGTTCAATGGTGGCAACCTGCGCTGTTATGCCTGCACACACCAATAAATAAAAATAGCAGCAATATCAAAATGAAGATGAGCTACAATAAAATCACGTCATATTAAACTAATGAAAGTTGGTTAAATCTAGGACTTGAAAGTAATTTCTTCTAGAACTATTTCAAGGCATATTAGTTTTAAAAATGAAAATTTGCGGTATTATATATGCACAGCATAAAAATATGAGAGAGTACCATACGGTTATAGTATAAAGGAAATAAAGGTTCAGGGTTAGAAACATATCTTATGTAGGAGTTACTTTTAGATGCATTAATATATAATTTAAATCACAAGAAGAATTTCATGGATAACAGAGAAACTCCTTATTTATAACACAATTGGGATACGATTTAGAGTATTATTGGTATCTTTATGATATTTTTTTTTTTTTCAAGGATTTTCACGATTATGAAGAAGCATGAGATGCTTTTTATCAGATTTAAGTATTTAGGGGGAAAAAAATAGTGAATCTCTTGTTGATTAAAATGGTTTATTATCACAGGCATTCTAAAAGTGATAAACACTGAACAAAGCATGAGAATTTGAATATATAAGAATTTTTAAATCCCAAATACTGATGAAAAGCTTAACTGTAACGGAATGAAGTATTGTTCACCGAGAATAATCAGTTGTGCACGCTAGGGGCGGAGCCCATTCAAGATATGCCCGCATTGAACTTCTGGGCCCAGCCCAATTTTTTAAATTTTATTTTATTTTAAGCTAAAGCCCACACATTGGCAATGCCCAAAACCAAAAAGTGAAGAAGCCCAACAAATGCCCAATACCGTCAATATTCCAACACAATACATTTCATTCCAACCCAATTTTCAACTCATTGTCTCATTCATAATTCATTCTTCCACAGTTCCACTCCTCCCGTCTCCGCTAACCTCCGACATTGTTCTCGATCTGCCGCTCTGGGATGATTCCACGTTTCCACCGGGGTGGCCTTCAACGTTGAACTTCTCAATCACCGCAGCAGGTACACCTTCGAGCCCTAGAGCAGTACCTTCGAGCCTTTGTACTTCTCAAGACACGGAAGCCGACAGCAAACCCTTTGATTCAATTCCGCATTTCCACAACAGCACCAGCACAGCAAAAGAAGAAGCTGAAGCACCTTGATTCTAATTCCTGAAGCCTACTCAAGTTTTTCTTAAGTTTTTATGTGTTGACTTTTAATGAAGGAAGGAAGAGCACCGGATGCTGAAAGCCCTTTCAATAGGTTAATATTTTTTATCCTAGATATTATTTGGTTATTAAATTATTAGGGATTCATTGCTTGATGATCATTAGCCTTTTACATTCTTCACTTTTGTCTGCATTATCCAGAGAGGAAAAAGAAGACTATGCCTTCGCCATATGAATATTAAGTAATATAAACATTTATGTGAATACATATGGAGAAAAAAATGGAAGAGTTGGATTGGCTATGTGCTCCCCGGCAAAGGTGAAATGTGCAAAAAGTGAATTTCTATGTTATATTCCTTATATGTAGATATTTAACATTAAAATTTTCTATTACCATCTCCTACATTTCTCTCAATTCAAATTTTCAAATTTGACTATTATAGAGGTTAGTGGCCCTTCTTTTTTTTTTTTTTTTTTTTTTTTTTTTTTTTTTTTTTTTTCTTTTTTTTATAGTTTCAAAAAAAAAAAAAAAATTTAAATTTTTTTTTTTTTTTTTCTTTTTTTTATAGTTTCAAAAAAAAAAAAAAAATTTAAATTTTTTTTTTTTTTTTTCTTTTTTTTATAGTTTCAAAAAAAAAAAAAAAATTTAAATTTTTTTTTTTTTTTTTCTTTTTTTTATAGTTTCAAAAAAAAAAAAAAAATTTAAATTTTTTTTTTTTTTTTTCTTTTTTTTATAGTTTCAAAAAAAAAAAAAAAATTTAAATTTTTTTTTTTTTTTTTTTTTTTTTTTGCATTTTGTACTGATTTGGGAGCATGAAAATGTCTCCTGTCTGACATAAATAATATCATTTTTCTCCTGATTTTGTTCTTTTTGAAGGATAACTTTGGAGTTACCAGTCAGATGAGGGCTTCACTATGTTTGAATGGCTTGAAGTCTTGAATTGCTTTTGAAGGCTCTTGAAATTAGACCTAGAAGCCTCAGGCCTGTGAAGCCCTCGAGCTTGATTCGGTGATTCCCGAAGCATACTGCCTATTCAAATCTCAATGTACTCACTGACTCTGTGAGTTTGCTTACTCTGTGACTGAAGCCTGATGCCATTCCATGTTGCTAAAATGCTAATGTTGCCTCTCGATAATGAAATTATTGTACAACAATATCAATGTATAAAAACTCGGAAGGAACAAGTGCATTATCTAAACTATGTTATCTTTAGCATTGTCGTAATATTATTTTATATTTTTATAATCATTACATCCATGACTAAAAACTCGACTTTTGGCGTGGACAAAATTGCTCCTGCACCGAATGAGAATCCTAGCTCCGCCCCTAGTGCACGCTATATAATACATAATGAGCCCCTTGGGGCATAATCCAGTTGTAGAAAGGATAGGAGTGAGGTAGTCTCAACTTTGCCGGCAGTCGCAATGTGAGGATTTGATTTCTGATAAATGAAATTGGACTCTTTGTGAACACTAGTGTACGAGTAAGCTCTTGTTTCCTGACCTGCTCGAGCAGGTCCCGCAATTTCCCTCCCTCATGATGCTGTAGGGGCGGGGCGGCTGGTGTTTACAGATGTAACATGAAGCATATCAAGACTTCACGTCTTTTAATTTTCCACCACCATTAGATTTCATTTTAGTTACTAGCTAATTAATTGGAATAAACCCCAATCTATACAGCAGAAAATTTCCATCTTCTACCTTCCAATTATATACCAAAAAAAAACAATTTAAAATATGAGCAAATAACACTTTATATACACCTGGTACAATTACGAGCGAATTTGAAATGCTTGGATACCTGAGGAAGAGAAAGAGGAAAGTGGTCTGCACTGCAAGTTAAGGGAACGTGGGAGCTGAACCGAAGAGGATAATTTCCGGAGATGACCCATTTCCCGGTAGGAGTTGTCGGAAAATGCGGCGGAATTGAAGGTGACAGCGGCCGATCCGGAGACGGAGGAAGCCATATTGAGCCTCGTACGTAACGAAAATTGAAGAAAACGAGAGGAAATGAGATTCGCCACGGGGAAGATGAAGAAAAATGGTTCTTATAGATTGAACAGGTTTTTTAGTCAAAAAATGCTTTGGAATTTCCGGAGGCTCACTATGTGTGTCAGCGATAGGTACGAAATGTGTCTCCTCTTCTAAGGGGGAAATACACGAAAATGACTATTGGACTATGAAAAATTCTTGTTGTATATGTTGGTTGACCTGCTATTATATAGAATGAGCTGGCAAGAATTTTTGCTTAAAAAATGAAAAAACTTCATTTGGCTACCATTTGAGATACGGGTCCACCGAGCCCTTTGAAATGGTCCAAATACAAGACTCCCTTGTTGCCTGACCCGTTCATTTTCTTTTCCCTTGTTTTTCCTCTTCACAAATGTTTCGAGCGCCAAAGACCTTTCTTCCCCAAATTTCCCTCCATTCTGTTTGGACGGCTGCCTCAACCACTAAAGGAGTGAAGAAGATCTCGGTTGCAGTTTTAAAAAGACTCCAGCTGCTGTCATGTATTGAAAGAAAAAGCTGCATTGAAAGAAAAATGAGTTGAGACAGCTTACTCTTCACAACGCCGAAAACATGACAGACAAAAGTAATGGGTCTATTATCATTTTGTCAAAAATACGATGTGTTGGGTGTTGTTCACCTTATTCTTGAACCGTCATTGAAAAGATGCATTATTTGCTGAAATTTTTCATTTACTGTACTTCGAAATGGCCCTCTTCGTAATCCAGTTCCTTCCAATGAGAAAAAAATGAGTGCGAGATTTAGCTTTGTTCATTGAACCGTGTTGAGGAAAGAAAGTGTAGAAGTTGAAGTTGCATCATTATTTGCTGAAATTTTCCATTTACTATACTTCGAAATGGCCCTCTTCGTACTCCAATTCCTTCCATTGAGAAAAAAATGAGTGCAAGATTTAGCTTCGTTCATTGAACCATGTTGAGGAAAGAAAGTGTAGAAGTTGAAGTTGCATCAACTCTGCCTTTGAAACTGTCTTCTTAGAGAAATAATGTTTTCAATAAAAGAAGTTTAGGTTGAACATGCCTTCATTTGAAAGATCGCAAGAACCGCATTTTTAGTTCATTCCTGAAATGGCTTTTCTTGAATAGATGAAAGTCGAGCTGAAATTAATAGAAACCCAGAGGGTAGAATTAAAATGATTTAAGATGAATTAGTTTATGTACATATTACATTGAATACATATACCAGTTTCATATAACTTGGAATGAGTACATTCTATGAATTACCAAATACTTTACGCCATTGGCATTGAAACTGCTAAATTGATTTTGTAGGAAAAAATATTTTGGACAATGTGGATGACATTATTTTTGTAGAATCTGAGTCTGGGAATGTGGCAGAGAATGTGAACGTATTGGGTGATGACAACATAGCAAGAGATGATGCATCTTTACAAGCACCCGAGGTTGGTATGAAATTCAATGACGAAAACGAATTGTTTGATTACTACAAAAAATATGCATACGCCGAAGGGTTTCCGGTCAGAAAAAGGAACTCGAAAAAGGATGATGACGGTGTTGTAAGATATGTTACATTGACATGTAGTCGCGAGGGAAAAAGAAACAGTACTACAATCGGTTCTTTAAGACCACAACCAACCATTCAAACAGGTTGTAAAGCACGGCTGATTGCATCTATGGATAGTCGTGGAATATGGAGAATTAACACGGTAAACCTCGAGCATAATCATAAGACAAGTCCATCAAAATCTAGGCTATATCGATGTAATCGATAGTTGAACGCACATGTTAAATGGCGGCTAGAAGTGAATGATATGGCTGGAATTCCATTACAGAAAAGTTTCAACTCAGCAGTAGTCGAAACAGGTGGATACGAAAATATGACGTGTGTGGAAAAGGATTGTCAAAATTATGTTGAACAAATTCGGCGTCTTAGACTTGGAGAAGGAAATGCCGCAGTAATACAATCTTACTTTTCAAAGATGCAAGCTAGTTGCTCCGGGTTTTATTTTAGTATGGATTTGGATGAAGATTTGAGGCTAAAGAACGTGTTTTGGACAGATAATAGGAGTAGACAGGCTTATAAGGAGTTTGGTTGATGTTGTAACATTTGATACCACGTATCTCACCAATAAGTATGACATGCCGTTTGTCCCATTTGTTGGTATTAATCATCACGGGCAATCGACCCTGCTTGGATGTGGGTTGGTCTCAAATGAAGATACGGATACATTTGTTTGGTTGTTTAGGACATGGCTACAGTGTATGCATGGCGAAGCACCTCAGGGTATAATTACCGATCAAGACCGAGCTATGCAAAAAGCAATTGAAATTGTATTCCCTTATACGAAGCATAGGTGGTGTTTGTGGCACATATTGAAAAAGTTGTCAGAAAAGTTTGGATACCACGTCAATAAAGGTTCTATTTTCTATACTATTCACAATTTGGTTTACGATTCACAATTTGTTCAAGAATTTGAAGAAGGGTGGAGGGTAATGATCGATACATATGATTTGCATGAAAACATCTGGTTGTCAGGATTGTATGAAAATAGATGTCGCTGGGTTTCGTGCTTTTTCAAAACCAGTTTCTGGGCAGGTATGTCGACAACGCAACGCAATGAGAGCATGAATGCATTCTTCGATGGGTATGTGCATTCGAAGACCTCATTAAAGCAATTCGTCGACCAATATGAACGGGCTTTGCGGAGTAAAGTTGAGAAGGAGATTCAAGCAGATTTCAGGTCTTTCTCACAGATGGTACCATGTGCAACAAGGTATGAAATGGAAAAGCAATTTCAAGCCGTTTACACCATTTCAAAGTTTCGAGAAGTTCAAGAAGAATTCACTGGGAAGCTTTATTGTGACCTAATATCTTCTTCGGAGAGAAGTTCGGGGACAACGTACGAGGTATGCAAGGAAGAGATAAACGATGAACGATCGAAGAAAAAAATGTTCTTCGTCTCTTTTCGGAAAGATGATTGTGACATTGTTTGTAGTTGCCATTTATTTGAGTTTCAAGGAATAATATGCAGGCATATGATTTCAATATTGATCCGTAATGGCGTCAAACAAATACCGGACAAGTATATATTACGAAGGTGGCGGAGAAATGTTAGTAGAGCCCATACGAGGGTCATAGTTAACTACGAAGGGTTGATTACTACACCGGGGCAGTTGAGGTACGACAAATTGTGTCAATCTTTTGCTCCATTGGCCGACCTAGTTGCAGATGATGAAAGCAAAGTAGAAAACTTGCAAAAATGGATCGACCATGAATATGAACTGGTAACGGCATCGAAATCCAATATTGTGAGTAATGTCCTATCTCCGCATGGTGTACTAGTACCATCGCAATGTGGGCCGTCATTAGAAACTGTCACCAGTGGATTACGTGATCCTAATTGTGTGAAAAGAAAGGGTGCACCAAAGAAATTTCGGAAGAAGAGCCCGTTAGAATCTAATTCGAAGAAGGGAAAGGTATATTTGACTTTAACATTAAAGCTAATTGTGTTTGAGTTGTTTGCCTAATGCAAGTAATATGTTTCGATGTCATGCAGGGGCGTTCGCGTACATCCAATCCAAATAGGTCGAAGTCCCAGCCAAGTAATGTTGGCGTAGAGGCCGACGACGTTCAAGTACATGAACAGTCCCAACATTGCATGAATGTACCACCATTAACATATTCGCAACTTTTAATGGTTAGTACATATATAAGACGAAGTTATCTCAAAAAAAATATATTTATCAAAATATGAAATTCATTTATGTAGGGTGACCACGAAAGTGTTGCATTCACACAACAAAGTTTTTTTACTTCTACCGGCAACCATGTTCAGTTCAATAATCGAGGTAATTATGTGGTTTAAACATTATACGCAAAAAATGCGTCATCCATTTTATGTCTTGCTCGGGTATTAATTACTTTCTTGTTCAGATTTTCAGGCAACGCCGTATTTCTACCCATGCTCACCGGACCGAGATGGAGGAAGCCATTGATTTTCTAAGTTCGACACATCGGACACTGAAGTGATCAGTAGTTTGATTGCAAGGACTCCTACTCCTATTAGGAGAGGTAATCATAATACAAGTTTCTGCAATGTAGAATGGCCTAAAGGACTTCATAAGGATATGAACTTCTTATAATGACATATAACAGATAAAATATATGCTGTTTTACATGTGTAAAATTCATGGAATGACCTTTGTCCAGGCTCGATGTTGGGGACGATATTGATCGTAACCTTGAGCTAGCATTGCCTTCTTCCTGTGGCTAATAATTCTCAAACTTTGTCTTGAAATGTCAATCTCTCTTTCCCTCTTGCGTTCTTGCTGCTTCATTGAATCTAACTTTGCTTGTAGAACTGCACCTTTTTCTTCCTTCAACTTCAGTTCTTCCTTCAGCTCCAACAATATTTCTTCTTCATTGCCTTTCCAACAAAGTCTTTCTTCTACAAAACAACAGAAAACAACTTATTTTTCCTAATAAATAAGAGGTCGGCTACATAAATCATTTCCGCTCCATTAGGAGTACCAGTCATCCCCACCTTTTTTTATGAGTGTTCTTATTTGGAATGATAGCTAGTACATTGATTTTGTAGCAGTTTCTTTTGCACCAGAACTTTGACTTTATTTGATGATCTCCTTTGATGTAGAGCATTTACACAATTTCCTCAATTCATGTATGCGGATGATGTTTGCTTGTAGTATGATGACTTTTAAATTTGTGCTTATATATTCTCTATCTTTCCTGCATCAGGTCTTTTGGCTCTTCAATACAAATCAGTTGCCCTCTCTTCTTAATGATGGAGCGATGGATCGAAAGATTCCTAAGCATTTTTTGTTGATCCATGATAACCAAGATGACTTATCCCAGTCATGATGATGGACATCCAATATTGTAGCATTTTTTTGTGTCCATCCAGTGTTTGTTGTGTTCATCTAGTCAAATTGGAACCACAAAACCTATGAAATTGTATATTGTTGAATGAAATGACGTTTGTAGTAAAAATGCATATGTTATTTGTGGGCTTCTATGTTACATTTTTTCTGACAACATCCGAATAATTCTTACAGGATTTAGTATGTATCACCTGCTATTTATGGGAGAGAATGCCACAGCTGATAATACATTAATGCCACAGCTGATAATACATAGGAGAGAAAACGAGGCATAAATTGATTAGAACTTCACATTGCCACATCTGAGTATACACAGGAGAGAAAAGCTAAGATAATTGATTTACATTAATTGTTTAAAAGCTAAGATAATGCCACAACTAAGATTACACAAAAGGAGGCAGAAACTAATTACAAAAGGAGGCAGAAACTGATTACATTGTGCATACTAGGCCTAAGTGCATCAACATTGCACAACATCATTTAACTAACTGCAAAAGTCTCAAAACAAACATGTCACAGCAAGAACTCATAGCCGAACAACTACACATCATGCCAGGCCCTTTCCTTTATCACATTCCACATTTGCATTGCCTTTGCGGATTGTCACGGTTATCTCTACGTCTTTCTCGTGAGTTAGTCGACACATCGTTTCAAACATGGAAGCGACATTATTCTCTAATCCAGTTGCCAAATCATTAGTAGAGGAGCTGCCAACAGAACTTGATTCGCCCGACGTTTCACCCTCTTTTATCCACTCCCAAAAATCGCATTTCTTGCTACAACGGTTGAACAATTTACCTTTCTTGTTCGTGTTCTTCACCACTGCAAAACACTTGACATACGCAGCTTTACACCACGGGCAACGGACCTTATTTTCACAATCCGCAAAAAAGTGACCGCTTTGTGTACAACCATGGCAGACTCCATCATTCGGTCCTACCATTAGAAGCTGCAAAAAACTCTATATTACACACGATGCAACAATTCAAGAAAGGGCATAAAATGCAATCAGCCAAACACTTGTTTTATAATTACATTCTTCACAATATTGTTTTGGTTCGGAATCTGCTTTGTAGAAAATTTTAATCCAAATTTTGGTTCTGCTGACTCTATGATTCCTTGGCTGATGCTGGTAATTTTTGTTCCAAATGAATTGATTTTGGAAAGCCAAAGGGATGATACACTAATATGAAAGAAACTGACAAATACAATGATAATCCATTCAATTGCATTTCAAGCTACAAAAGTTTATAATTCATTGTAAAATCCAGAATTTGGGAACGAGCTAAATTCACTGCACGTAAAAGTGCTGAGGCAAAGAGAAAAATCTAAATGATTTAGATAACCCTAATTTTGAAAAAAATTCTGCGTTCTTAAGAAGAACACAAATATAATCATCAACCAAAATTTGGACAGATAAACAGCTTCATAATTACACTGACTTGACCGAAAATCAACATCTTCGACTTACCCATGTAAATCACATATCAAGCTCACCTGATTTTTGATGCAAATTCGCCAGAGAAAATTGTGGTTCTAGGGATTTGAACGAACGCCTTCACATTACACTGACTGAACGGCTTCGGTTTCGTCAGATGTCTACATTTATACGTTCACGATGGGGGAGATGGCTGAAGTCGGAGCGGAGAGATGGCAGAGTAGATCGCCTTCGTCGGTATCGCCTTTTTCGCCTCTGTTACAGGCTTCTGACGTTGGGGATTGTGGAGAATGGGAATGAGTTCTAGGTCGGGTCGACTTCAAATTTACTCCAAAGTTTTGGTTCCATTTTTTTTTTTTTTTTACACCTCATTCTGTCAAGGCCTTCTGTACGAATAGCGCGGCCGATTGGACTATAGCAAATTTTGACATTGGCTTTTGACCCAATAAATGAATTAAAAAAAATTAAGTTAAAAAAAAACTTTACACTAAAAGGACGATTTTACCCTTCAAGACTGTGACTATCAAACAAAAACTCTCTAACCGACCGACCAAAAAACGAATAGTCGCTTGAAAATTAACCGACCACCACCGGCCAACTACACCAACGTCATAGTGAGTTAAATCGCCGACCAGAAGCACGATCTACACCGAAAAGAACGATACCAATTAGTTTTCTCGCAGATTTTTGTCAAAATGGAATAATATTGCATTTTTGTTCTGATTAATTTATTGAATAATATGACATTTAATGGGTTTAATTAGATCTTATGAGCATGAGTAGTTAGATTGTGGGCATGCTGGGGTGAAAAATGTGATTCTTTTGTAATTTTTAGACCTCTATGGCGTCGACAATGGCGATTTTCGATGAGCACGAAACTCGCCGGAAACAGTCATGGGTGTTGTTCCCTTTTTTTTTTTATATGAAATAATCTTTAATTTTTTTTCAAATTTATTTAAATGATATAAATATTTTTTACATTTTTTTAAAATGTGTTTAATTTGGAATTTTTTGTTTGTAAATATATTTTCCAAATGATTACAAGGTTAATTTTATTTATAATTTATTTATTTTAATTTGATTAAATAATAATGATGTTATTTATTTAAGTAATTTTTATAATTGCTTTTTTTATATAATTTAATAATTGAATAGATAATGCTGTCCGAAATTAACAATTTATTTTGTTCATTTTATTGTTCTTTTATTTTCACCTTTGATTTTTTTTCTAATTTATTTAAATAATATTTATATTCTTTAATTTTTTTGAAAAATGTATTTAATTTGATTTTTTTAAAAAATATATTTTCCAAATGTAATATTTGTGATTAATTTTCTTTATAACTAATTTATTTTAATGTGTATTGTATGGTAGTTAGAATTCGGTTCCCTTGATTTTGTGAGATTATGCTTTATTTTCTCTTGTTCAATGCTCTAACATTTGAATTTTTGTAGGATGGAGTATCATTTAGATGGGGAGTTGAGACGGATGGCGGGGAAGGCTACTTGGAACAGTAGTTTTGAGAGTTTTACTACTGTGTTGGAGCTGCTCGATGATCAGCACAGAAATATGCTACGACGGTCCTTCTTGTGGCCACTGTACCAGTTGCGAGAGGTGCAATACTCATGACATCGATGCACTTGTATGTCAGCTTCTGAGCACAGTCGATGGCGATTTCCTCCAATTCGACCTAGGGGGCAAGGTCGTCAGTTTCTCGACGTTTGAGTTTACATTGATCACTGGACTGGGGATTACGGGCGACGATACAACCATTGAGAGAAGCAATAGGCTGTACGAGATGTACTCCCAGGGACATGGGTCGGTGCTTCTACTCGACTTGATGGTCGCAATTAGGGGGTGCGACCAGATGCTAGATAGATTGAAACTTGGGCTGGTCTACATCCTCGAGAGTGTGATGAGGTGTCATCACAAGAAGACTACCATCGACATTTTTCATTTGCAAGTTGTTGACGACATCGATGCGTTCAACAACTATCCATGGGGCCGGAGATGCTACGAAGACATTGTACATGTCTTCACCAAAGCACACTCGAGGCCCAGGGGGTCGATGCGTAAATAAGATACATATGGATTGCCCTTAGCGGTGCAGGTAAATATTTAATATAATCAAAGTTAAAGTTTTAGCATATTACATTTGTGCATAATAAGTGTATGTGTTACAGATTTGAGTGTATGAAACAGTCCCTGTACTGGGGGCCCGCTTTGCGCAGCGAGGGGAGACACGCTGCCCTCGGATGCATCATTGGAGATCATTGTGAGCGAAGGGATGTCCCACTGGGAAACAGTTATCGGCCCTCCTCGACGATTCTCAGGTAAGTATTATGCATTTGTGATTTATATTATACGTAGTTTAAAATTCTGTTTACATGATCGTTAAGTAGTTGAAATGTCAATATGTCAGCTTGATGTCATACCTGAGCTGACGTCGTCGATGGAAGAGGAGGCTCGGGGTCTTGTGCGGGATTTAGGCGTTCTGCACACCCCAGACGAGGAGATGTCTGATCCGAGCTTGGATCGAGATTGGGTATGTGAATGAAATATAGTTTATTGAATATCGTCAACGTATAAATTTATTGAATAATTTGTAATATTATTTATGTAGGAGGGCGGTCCAGCTAATCCACGATCACCTCTGCCGAGGGTATCGCCGCCACCATTGGCATCACCTTCGCCGAGAGTATCGTCCCCGCCATTGGCATCACCTCCGTCGAGAGCATCACCGCCGCTAGTGGCATCACCTCCGCCGAGGGCATCACCGCTGCCATTGGCATCACCTCCGTCCAGACACCTCCCCCGTGTGTCTCCGGCACACAGTAATAATTTATATGCTCGTTTGACTGGATTTATAGCGGAGGAGGTCGGCGCGCTACGACGAGATTTGACGGAGAGGGTCAATGATCTAGGACGAGAGTTGACAGGGAGGGTTGACGATCTATCCCATGATGTTGAAATACTATAGTCTTCTGTTGTCGACCTTCAGGATACAGTAGCGACGCTTAGAGGAGATTTAGCCGGCAGAAGATGGGGGGACAGAGGGGATGGCGGAGATCATGATCGAGAGGGTGGCAGAGATGGTGATGGAGAGGGGGGTCACCCCCATTTTTGCGTGATGAGACATTGGAGTCATTGTGGCTGTCTATGGAGGGGGTGGCCCAGACGAGAGGGGCGGAGGAGGTGGCGAAGGAGGGGGAGGCCCCGACGGGAGGGGCGGAGGAGGTGGCCCCGGACGTCGAGAGGAAGCCCGGCGTGATTGAGGGTAAAAGACATGCTGTTGACGAGATGGAGCAAGTGGTCGGCAAGAGGTTGAGAGTGCCGTCACAGTATGTTGTTTCCCCCATCACGGTTGAGGCCAAGAGGAGGACGTTCATCGATGAGATGCACCCGAACTTATTCAGGGAGGTGGACAATGCCAAGTGGAAAGCGTTCAAGACAGAGTGGCGGAAAAGTATCATCGGGTAAGTATTGTATGATTTTAATAAAGCACTGTACGCTAACTCGTCTACGCTTATTTTAACATTTCCTTATTTTTTACAGAGTTAGCTGCACGATAGGTCAAAGGACGGTCTCGGGCCCTTACAAGTGGTTCCACGATATCACTACTGCGGGAGCTTGGCTCGCCGACGATGTAAGTGAAGTATTCATTTCGGTATTTTATGTATACGTCACTTTGTGTTTATTAAATGAATAACTCATACTTTTTTGGTATTTCCTGCTGCAGCACATCGACCTGGCCATGGACTTGCTGCGAGATCGAGCTCAAAGACATCCAAAATCATTTGATGTCCATGGTCGAGTCATATTAAACACCGAGTTCTTGCGTGCCGTTACCATAGAGTATCAGTCGCTCGAACTTATGGGTAACGAGTACACGGTACCAGAATATATGCTCGAGTGGGTGATAGGACTGTCACCGAGTGTCGGGGGGAAAATCATGGGAGGGTTGTACACATATGTACATTCCAGCGTGTATCAATAAACACTATGTTACACTGGAAATTGTTTTTGCTGACTCGACTATATGTGTGTACGACCCATATCATTCATGTTTGACACAAGGCCAGTTGGAGCGAAACCTGGAGTCCGTGGCTGTAATTGTTCCTATATGGCCGGACAAGCGGGGATAAATGTACAGGACAGATTGCGGATTGTTCGGAACACGACGACATCGCGATAGTCCGTAAGGTAAGTGTTTGAACTTTGTTGTTTTTATCTTTCAAATTTAGTTTTTAGTTACATAGTACTGAATTGATTCATTCTTGTTCAATTGCAGCGACGACTGCGGCATATTTGTCATTAAGTACGTTGAATTTTTAAGTATAGGGTATAAGGCTGATAGAATCAACCAATCGTGGATACAAAATTGAAGAAAGAAGCTATCATGTGATTTGTTCGAATTTAATGCTGACCCGTAAATTTGTATTAAATATATGTAACATTTCAATTGTAAATTAAATTATTTTTTGTAATTATGAAATAATTGTAAATTTGTATTCAATGTATATAACATTCACATTGGAAATTTAATTATATTTTTTGTTTTGTTATTTTACACGTAGGCCGAGTATGGAACTATTTTTTTCATATGAATCATTATAAATACCATTTATCAAGAATAAATATTGAACATCAAAGATTTATAAAGAACAAATATTGAACAGTATAAAGTAAAAGGAAATATTATTCATTTAACGTATATGTCTAATCGTCATTTAGGAAAATTTGACTAGTACAAAATTGTCTAGTATGCCCTACGGCTCTGCACCTGCCACACCTACGCGGTCGAGGAAACTCTCCAGTAGATGGTATTCTAGATGTACTTGGACGTCCAGGACCACGCGGTTCAACTACCGGTGGCAACAAATTATGAAATGGGATAATGTGCTCGAGAACTTCCCACTTAACTTCATTCGGCAGAGGAAATATAGTCTCAGCATATGCTGTTCTCCAAGACTCAGTCGTATAATACAAAGAGCATAACGTTCTCGCAGCAAAGTCTCGATACATGGCCACTGCAACTGCATGCTCACATAGAAAACTCTCCAACTGAAATCTCGTACAAGTGCATGTGTTATTAGTCAAGTCCACCATATATGTCGTGTTACCTGCACATTGCACGGAGAAGTGAAACTATCTAGTGCTTCCACATTCAACTTCCTCGCAACCTCTGCCACCTTAAACAGTTTCTCCTCTTGAGCTGGGGCCAACACACTAGTGCAACTCTGTGATGCCGCAAGTCAGTCATGAAACTACTGTTGTAGCTTGTTACGAATGTTTTTAATCATTGCGAGAATTGGTAACTCTCGATCCTTCTTAAACAATGCATTGAGAGACTCCGCGTTATTACACTCTTCAGCACTGTAAGCTTCGTCTGCTCTCCTGAACAATGAAACGATATCTGTGCCCCAATACCTAGTCTTCAAATTACCTTGTTTATGGTACATGCAATACCCGTGATGTGCCTCGAGAAAAACTTCAGCGATACCATTTATTATAGACTGTCCCCGATTGGTTACAAATGCAAGGTCTTCGACTCTCCCGATCACTTCCCTCAGTGTAGAAAAGAACCAACGCATAGACAGATCATTCTCGCTGTCGACTATGCCAAATGCAATAGGGTAAATTTGGATGTTGGCGTCTTGACATGTATCGATAATTAATTTGCCTTGATATTTAGCTTTCAGAGTTATACCATCAACTAGAATTACGGGTCGCATTGCATTTCGAAAACTCCGAATACATTGTCCGAGAGCCATGAAAAAATACTTAAAACAATTATCGCCCCCTGTCTCAATAAAAAATGCTGTACCAGGATTAGTTGTCCCCATGTTATGGCAATACCTAACCAATTTAGCATAGCTCTCTTCAACCGATCCCATTAAATCCTCCTACGCACATTCTTTGGCCTTCCAGACTTTCTGGTAGCTCATGACCACACCATACTCTCGACGGACGTCGTTAATGATGTTCGAAAGTCTGTAGATCGTCGGTGGGGCCTGATAATTGTGCATTATCTGTCAACCAATAAACCATGCTCGAGCTTGCCTGTGATCGTTTCGAAGAATTCCCACTTCGCAAGTATGTTCCCCTGAATACTTGCGAATTACGAAGCACTCATTTGTGTCCATCTTAGTTGCTCTCAAGCGCCAATTGCAACTGTCTTCGACGCAGGCAACTGTCAACAATGACTTGTTTGATTTCTTTACCTTGAACTTAAAATTATATTTTAATGCCAACCGGTGCACAGCTTCCTGCAAATCTTTCTTGGTTTCAAACAGTTGCTCATCCTGCAAGTCCTCATCATCGAGAGCCACATGGGAAGAATTGGAGGACGGTCCACTTGTTCCAACCTGTGAGCTCCCACCCACCTCATGTCTCTGTTGGGATAAAGCAATCAAATTCTCATTTATAAACTCATTTATATTCTCATTGTCTTCAATTGTCGACGGAATTCTATGCGTAACAGCGACATCACGATCAGGAGCAACTGTCTCAGGAATAACCACATCATTCGTAGGAACTATCTCCACTGTCTCCCAAAAACCTCGGTCATTATTATCCGCCCTATTTGAATCTTCGCGTTCACCTTCGATAACATCATTCATAACTAAAGTCACACCAAGAGCAGTCGGAATTCGATACATTTTATTCAACTCTAATAGATAATTCAATTTAGCATCATTAGTAACGACTATTGGTGGAATCGGAATGGATGAACCCCCATAATCGTTAAATAGATATCTCAATTGCATATCGTATTGAGATTGATCGACATTCAGCTTATTTTGTAAATCGTTGTACATTTCTAAGTATGATGTACTATCTGTTATGGGAATTGCAACACAACCACATCTGTCAATCATCCATCTTCATTCCCACCGATTATTTTCATTTAATTCGAAATCACCGAAATAACAGACGGGAATTATCATATCTACATGAAGAAATAGATTTAATCAACTTCATTTATTCATTATAAGAAAAAATCAGTGCCAACAAAAATCAGTGCAGAGTCGGTGTTAATTGGCTGTTAAACAGTCGGACTGTTTGGCTGTTTTTGCACAGGAATTCTTCTACGATTCTAAAGAAAAATATTATACATCTGTTCATTTTTTTTGATAGGTAAGATCTATTAAAAAAAATTTATGCTAACTACTATGTTGACATAAAATTTCTCTATTCAAACGTATACTAATTTACTGAAAACGAAATTAAACATACGTAAATGTACTTACCGATTTGAAGTAATTGATGAAAAAAATTTCCGTCTTCAACGTTTCAAAGTTTTTCTAGATTTTGAAGTTCAAGCAGATGAAAAGATAAGAGTTTTTTCTGTGTTGGAAGCTCGTTTTGAAATTTTTATAAGTGGGGAAGTGTTTGATTTTCAATTATTAACTAAAAGGGTAGTAAAATCCTTTCAACAATATATTGTTTTGTAATTGTACAAAACATTTAAGGGCATCTTTGTCTTTTAACATACAAGAGGCCAATGTCATAATATTCATGATTTTGAAAGTCAAAGTGAAATTTAGGTCCTTTGACTGAGTCAAAATTAAAAGTACCCCTCTCTCTAAGTGGGGACTTCTATTTGGTCACCGAACTTTCAAACATGTGCTACCTTAGTCACCGAACATTTATTTTTATTATTATTATTATTATTATTATTATTATTTTAATAAATAGCTATGGTCACAAAATTTGTTATAAGTTGTTTTTAATCAAGTCACTAGTAGTTGTTGGAATGAGTTAACTTATAAAAGTGTTTAAAGTGTGAAAATGAATATCATAATCGTCAAAATGACGTATAGCTTAATAATGTCATTTGATTGATTATCGATTACATAAAATTCAACTAAACCGTCATCATAAACTTTAACTAAACCATCCTATTATTCAATGCATAAAAATATATTATAACTTTTTTAGAAAATGTGATAATGACCCATACTTTGATCAATACTTGTACATTCCTCTCTGTTTTCAAATAATCGTAGGCGAATTTTTTATTTTTTATTTTTATAAATTATCCAATGGTGTGTTATTAGATGACACAATGTAAACAATGATGTAAAAAGTAATATACATGGAACATGATTCTATTTTGATAAAGTGCCTTCCGTAATCAAATTTCACACGACATGACATTTCAGCAATTTAAAACACATCAAGCCTCTGTTTGGTTCACCTAAATTCTTTAATTAAAATTGAAATCATAATCAACAACTAATTTTAACTACTTAGATCCACTACTTATTCACCACACATTCTATCAACTTTTATCAAAATCTACCAAAATTTTAATTTTTATCTTAACCAAGCAGGGTCCAACAATTGCAAACGAAGAAATTTTCTTGCTTTCTGTACAAGGAAAATCTCTCTTGCCATCATGTCCATTCTCTGTTCTACTTCAGGTCCCCCCGCCCCCACGCCGGGGATCATATTTACATCATTATTTCTGCAATTTGCACACAAAAATTCAATTTCTAATGCTTTATCAATACAAACAACATAAAAACGGATCCAATGGGATCCAATGTGTAGCTCAAATGATCATCCTAATTTGGCAAGAGACAGCAACTCCGAGAAACAAGATGATACATTATGAATTCAAATAGATGGTCAAGTCATCCCAAAGACACAAATAGACGGGGAATTAGTTGTCCATGCAAGGTATGTCCACCAAAATGAAAGACCTATAGGCTAGTCGATAGTCTTGAACCAAATACGTACAAATCGGCACTTAACGAAACTAACAAAAAGATCAAAATATCTAACGATACTTGGGAAAAACAAAGGACGAGACCATTTCAAAGATCAGAAACTGCCCTCACAGCTTGAGGCCATTCTCGGGAACAGAGAACAATGATTCTGCATACCGAAGGCCAAACTAAGCATTTGCTTGTGCAGGTTTCTTTGAGTTATTCTTCCGACGAACCTTGATAAAAGCCTTGTCCAAATCCTGCATTATATTACAAATAGTATTTTATGGGTTTGAGAACTCAAGCAGTATGAGCAAGAGCATGTTTGTAGAAGTCAAAACATGTGGAGATATGTTACTATTTTTGTATTTGTAAGTAAACAATTTACTAATTATGAAACTCTTACCTTGTGTCAAAACATGTAACTTACATATATCCAACTTTGTCCATTAAAACTATTTTTATTTTATAACTTACTTTTATACTTGTACGTGAACATTTTGAGCTTAGCCAAACATGCTCTGAATATTGAATTACTTTACACATCATTATGTCAAAGTTTGGATTCTGGAATACCGTGTACCATAGAAAAGTAGCAAAGGGGTTCACCTGGGTGTGTTCTTCATTGGATGTTCCAGTCGACCAAAGCTTCTCCAAGTTGTAATAAGCTCTTACCTTCTCATCGAGAGCATGAATGACTATTGGGCCTATAAGAACAAGTTGTCAACTAATAACACAAACTGTTGCTAACATACAATTCCAAAATTTTCAAGTTACTCTCATTTGTTAACAATATTGAAACATGCTACAAAAGAGTCGCAATAGGAGAAGATTATTTAATGTGCCTGGTACCAAAACTTAGGCTGTAAACGTCAATGAGTCGTTTTGATAAAACAACCTACAAATTCAAACCCTCAATTTCCTCTTCCATCATTGTTCAATACCTTTACGTTGATCTACATTATTTCAAAAAAAGTTTAATTGCTGAGCAATGCATTACTCATGAAGGTTTTGATCAATAAACTAATACTCACGGGTCCAGAGCAAGAGCAGTGTGACAAACTGACAGCAATGAACTAATGAAGCAGAAGCAGAAGAAGAAAAAGTCGACAAAAAACCAATACGATTATGTTGAGAAAAGAGCAAAAGGGAAATGGAAAAAACTGGATACCGGAGTCGATGACAATCCACTTCCCCCCCTCTTGGCCTTCCACACTTGGTAACAACATTCTCTTCACTCCTCTCTGCTTTTGCTTAACCTGTTCAGTATCAATCAATACAAAATCAAGGACCAACCTTTATATTTGTAAGCCAAAATCAATCAATATGCTAAGGTCACAATTCATCAGAACTCAATATTTATGACTTCCGAATATCACCTAGTTAATTACGGTAAAAAAAGCTATAATTAGTGTATATAACTATATGATTCGCCAAATATCTCATTGAATACAATCATGAAAGCAATGCATGAGCCATTGGATGCATGTGATCTGCATATATACACACTAGAACATTCCGTATCTAGAGAAGAAAACCTTTTATTACATCTTAGAACATTTTCACTGTCTAACAAGTAACGATTCCATAAAGTACATTTTGATTCAGAGGCCAAAACCTTAAAATCCATCACTCTCCTTGCTAACAATCCCTTCTTGTAGTTCTCTCTTACGTAATTATAAATTACTAAAATTGAATATACATATAATAAAATAACTAAAAGTACACCCACCATACACATGGTTTCAGCACATTGAGACAAAATGTTTCCTAACTGAAGTGGCATGCTTTTAGCGTAGCAAAAAGAAGATAATCCTCGCCAATAGAGTATAGCATTTCTCAATAAAATCAACCTTTATAAAAAACTATTATTAAATAAAATGTTTGGGCAAACAGTTATCGTGGCAAGTTCATATATGAAATCATGAAACCCAATGTGTTACCAATATTTTGCATTTTCTGGAATTCTCCGTGAAGCTACTTTAAGTCTTCAGCCACTACGAAACATTAAATGTGATCAAAATTGAACCTTTTTTTATGAAATATAGGAGCATTTCTGACTATATCAGTGTTTGATAAACAGAGGGAGAGCTCTCTACACTTGAAACCCGTGTCCAACAAGTTTATCCATTCGCAATTCTTCATTAAAATTCAGCATCGAATCACTTTTCACATTTAAACTAGTTATGAAAAATAAAATCTTTAATCCAATTCGGTAATTACAAACTGAATATTTGTAAAACATGGGAATGCACATATACATAATAAATTCATTATTATATAAACATCAGCACATATATACATATGCAAGTGAGGGGATAGACAGACCTGCCTTGTAAATTAGGGCTTGGGCTATATTACGCACGTGCCAGGCAGACCGACCAGTAGCGATAACCATGTAATCAGCGAAATCAACGTGTTTGGGGACTGGAAGTACTTTAACGTCGTCTGCTCTCACGTCGGTCAGGATTTTCTCAACCTCATTCAAGCTCAACATCTCTCGATTTCTTTCGATGTTATCAATATCAGAGGAACAGAAAGTGCGAGTGAAATTTGATGAACTTATAATTTTCCATTGACTAACATTTGATAGAGCTCGAGACCTTAAAACCGACCACATGGAATCACCACCGCTGCACCACCACTCGCCACCGCTGTTTCTCGACTGTGAAGATGCGTGGATCGTGAGTACTTCAGGGCCTTTTAAGCTAAGGGGATCGTGTACAGGCCCAAAATGAATATTAATGCGCTAAAAGACCGTTTGTTTATTGGAAATTGACAAAAAACCGCGTCAATATTTTTTTTGAAAAATATCATTTTTCATCAAAATTTTTAGTTTTATGTTATTTGATTGATATATTTTTTTTTATCATGAAAGACGTTTTTCTTAGAGATGGAAATTTGAACCGTCAAAATCGAAAACCGCAGTTAACCGATCCGAATGAGGCGAAAAAAACCGAACCGATGGTGCAATGGGGCGGATATGATTTTGATTTTAATGAACCGGTTCTTAATGGTGTGGGTATGGTATTTACGTCGTCGAACCGAAATCGAACCGATTACCCGCTTAAAAAAAAAAACAATTGAATTCATTTTGGGTTTTACACTACTTTTCTATCCAGACCAAAACAAAATCCCTCCCCTCCTCATTACATCTACCTGACTCATTCGACCAGCTCACTTACCATTAGCCCATAATAGCATTAATATGACAGTATATAAATGCAAACCCTACTCTCCACAAACCACAAACTCACGCACGGCTCCACTGCCTTTACAGTCCAAGTCGTCATCGCCTCCGAAAATTTGTTACATTTTTTAGCCATTCTATTACTGTTGATCATGTAAAAACAGAGTTCGATGTTTTTCTAAACATGCCAGTATTGCCAAGGATGAATAGGAATCAACTTTGAATGCTGATCTATGCGAGTAAGACTTGTAGGGAAGAATGAATCAAGTAACTTCGATGTATAACAATTAAGAATGAAGGAAAAATTTAGTATTATTATATTTATAATATTGTTTGTTAAATTTGTATTTTACAATTGAAAATTAGGATAATGTTTGCATTTACGTTTGGAATATTGTTTCATAATATTTGCATTTTCGTTTGAAATATTGTGTTTTTGTTTTTATTGACTTTTTTTCATAAATTGTTTTATATCAATTTGATGGATGAACCTATAAAAAATAATTTATTTTCGTGGTTATTAACTGAACCGAACCGTGCCAAATCGAGATACGAACCGAACCGATTTACGTGGTTATGGTGCGATTATGGTATGATCAAAAAATTAGTAGTGCGGTTATGGTTTTGACCGAACCGACCCATAACCGAACCGTTGCCAACCCTAGTTTTTCTACTTTTAATCACATGACCATATTTTTCTTAAAAACAAAAAAAAAACTCTTTAAAAAAATATTTTTTTATTTTCTAGGTAATTTGCTCTCTCTCTTATTTAACCCTTCTCTGTCTCATATCTCTACCAATAAAAATTAGCCAAGTATAACATTTTCTTGGTTGAAAATAAAATCAATTAAACACATTTAATTAACAATTTTCATACAAATAATTTCTAGGCAATTTAATTACCTATAATTTATTATTCTTTTTTCATGGAAATTTCACGTTCACAATCAAACGCACCTTATTGTTGGGTATAAAACTAAAAGAACAAGAACCATGTTTGGTGTACATTATCTCTATCCCATGGCATCATTTTATTAGACAGTTAAAAAAAGTAGATTTTACTACCAATCTTTTTTTGCCAACACAGTAAATATCATTTACAATGTAAGAAACAAGTTTACAAATGGCGTAATCCAAAAACAAGAACAGGGTTCTGAATGCGACGCACAAATTTTATTTTATTTTATTTTATTTTTTTCCTTGTTTGAGGGTGTAAAATGGGATAAGTCAAGTGACCCAGGTTGCTTGGTCGCTCAATCAAAGTATAGCAGGCTCCGCTCCCCTCAGCTCATCTTGGCTCTTAGCTGGGCTAGGCAAAACTAATCATTCCTTTTCACTAAAAATGCAAATTTCCCTCAATTTGTAGATCATACTCGCACACGAGCCAATAAGTTCCTTAACGAGCTAGCTCTTGAGTTTACTCGAATGAGCTGATAAGCGTCTCACACGTGAATTTGCTGCTCAACTAGACTATATGAAATCACATACTCGATTGTAGTTGTAGGCGATGCTAAATAGGGTTAGACATGATCCGGTTCGATTCGATTTGGTTCTAACGAGAATTGAACCGACCCGAAATTTTTGGGCATTTAGTAAGTGAAATCGTCGAGTCCAAATTTAATTACGGAGCAGTTCGGGTTCGATTCCATTCGATCCGATTCGGTTCCATTCGATTCTGTATTATAATTAAATTTTTTAATATATAGAAAGTTATGTTAATTTAATTAATGATATGTTCAATATTAGCTCTTACAAAATAATGTAGTTCAATCTTATGTGTTTCACGTCTCTGTTTGCTGAATTCTTTATAATTTTGATTATTAAAATCATAAAAAGAGAAAGATAGCGAATTCAAAATAATTAAGAGAAATATTGTGGAGTTTTAATTCGATTTTTTTTCGGTAGAAATAACACTACAGTAGAATAACAGATTTTGATAAAATTGAGGTCAATTTGATTAAATTGATTTTGAACTGAAAATTAGAAATAGGAAAATCATATTTTGTGGTTTGAACTAAATTGACTAGTTAACAATTTATTTAGAAAAAATAAAATAATTTTACTTATTTAAAATAAATTGATTAAAAAAATTACGGAGATTCGATTCTTCGGGTCTTGGCCTAGAATCGAGAACCAAACCATACCCGTCGGTTCTTGATTTAAATATCCATTCGGATATTTAATTTGAGAATAACCGTTGAATTCGGTTCGATTCGAGAGTTTTGTCCAGCCCTAATACTAAATACCTTTCGCTATTCTTTTCTCTCTTTAAATCTTAGATATTTTCATTTGTTGTTATTATTATTGTTTGACATTGATTTATTAAAGCATATCATACTTGATGTTCGATTGTACGCAAACCGCATCTTCTAAAATGGTTGGTTAAAGCTTAATGAATAGGTAACATTTATAATATAGGCAATGATTAAAATTGCTAATCCACATCCTTGAAGAAGAAAGACTACTGGCTCATCTAATTATGATGAGACTTTAATTAATCACCTACCAATTAAAATGACAGGATTAAAATTGCTGACACTAGTGGACAAAACCATGTTGATCATATTCTTTTTTTTTTCTAGTTGTTGTCTACAGTCTACTGGCCCAATTTCTATATTTTTCATTTATTCTTGAAAAAAAAAATCTTGAAAAATGTTGGACGTACCTTACATTGACCGCTTGTTTGGGAGTGATTTTTTGGTCCAAAAAATTGATTTTTTGATCGTTATTTCACTATTTCAACCGTCATATTTGACTTCTTCTCTTACAGGTGGACCTTACTTTTCTCTCAACGGTCAAAAAATTAATTTTCAAAATCACTCCCAAACAGGCTCTGAGATTTGGTGCATACTGTTAATATTTTGAAAGTAAAAATGTAGGTTTGTACAATAGAATATGACAAACGATGTAAAGATAATGTACGAATTGCTATTATTATGGAATCGAGCTGCAAGTACAGAAAGAAAACCCACAGATATTTTATAGACTACTTACAGTGGTGGAATTGACATTTTTCTGGTCATTTTTGAATACATCGGGGCCCACGTGGGCCCGACCTCCATGGAACTCATCTGTAGGAGTTCTGTGAGTTTCTCTTCTGTACATAAAGTTTAATTCATTATTATGACATAATGAAAGTCGGAGATTTTGTGTATGTGAATTATTGGTGGACCATAGGTTTAGTTATTGTATGATAGGATATTTGGTTAAGCTTTTGTTATAGAAAAGTAACTTTGAAAAATTTAATCATCAAAATAAGTAACTTAAAAATTTAAAATTTAAATACCAACTTGATATTGATTCCCATTGGTTTTGGTGACAACTAATTCTCGAAGAAAGTGAAACCAAATTTTAGCCTCCCGTTTGTTTCTCATTTTTGGAAGAATGAGAATGAAAAATATAGTTGTTATGGGCCCCACGCAAGATATATAAATTCAAATTTGATGGCTTGATGTAATGAATAACGATCGTATTTTTCATTTTAATGAGAAAATAATTAAAACCAAACAGGGGTTTAATAAAAGTCTTCTGTTCCTTCAATTAACCAATTATTTGCAACAACTAACTTAACGCAAAATATGCCATGTTGTTTTTTTAATACGCTTCATTAAATTATTCGATGCATGGATGGCTGGTGTAGATCAATTAAAAGGGTTTTGTCAAGTTCTTCCAATATTGTATGAGATATAAATGGTTTTTTTTTCCTTTCTAATTTTCCTATTTAAAGTCTATATTTTTCCTTGATAGTCCAAAACCTAAATTATAAAAGAAAATAACTCATTATTCAAGGATAGAAATATCATTTGTTTCAAGAATTATAAATAATTTCATTTCGCATTAAGGACAACATAATGTATTAACTTACACTTTAAGTGAGTCTTATCTATCATTGACATTTCATTCTAATGGTATGGTTGATTGCATTTATTTTTCACGAAAAATATCAGTTTTTTCACATAAATTCTTACTTTGGAGTGTTGGATTACTATTTTTTTCCATTAAAAGTTTTTTCCAACTTTATGAAAATATGCATAATTTCCTTTTTTTAAGTAAAATATTTTCTTTGGGGAGTTGATTTTCGTTTTCCTCGAAATAAGGAAAATATTTTATTTTTTATGTGATCTTTTTCATGCCAGTCAAATACACTCTAATGGTTTCAGAAGATTCCACTTGTTTAGTATATATTTTTTATGTTAACTTTAGGCGATGCCATGTACAAAACTTTACAAGATGACTCATAATACTAAAGAAATTCGAAATTGTATATATGACACAGAGGTTTTCAAGAGATTAAGCTTATGTTTTAAAAGCTTTTGAATCTATCAGTTTATGGGTCCTCCGTAATGTGTGGAGTATATAAAAGTTGTGATTTCAATGAAATATGTGATTAAAAATTAATTTAGATTAACTTATAATCTGAAAAAGCTTTGTCAAATAAAGGCTAAGCGACTCTAAAGAATCATTGGGTTAAATTAATTCCATTTTATCATAGTACGAGCTGAACTGATCAACTGAAAACCTCGTGTCTTCTCAATCCAAGCTCTTTCTATGTACAAATTTTGTCCATGAAGCATTCTTAGTTCATCTTTCTATTATGCCAAGTGTTTGTTTGTCTTTGAAGATAATACAACTTTTGTCACACTTTTGCCTTCTGCCTCATTACTTTCACCTTATGTTAAGGTTCTTCTTCCATATCATATGTCCCGACTTATCTTTCTTTTTCCTCTTTTCTTTGTTTACTTTTAACTTAATCAAAAAATAGTTATTGATTCCTATAATAAAAAAATATAAATAATTTAAAACTCCATTAGTAAATTCTGATACATCAAACTTACTCCTCAAGTCGATTTGACGCCACAGATTCACTTTTCGACTAACCTTGCAGATAACAAATTAAAAATTTATAGTTTGAACAAGATTAGATTAGCTTTTAGGTCCCTTTTTATATATATGAGATGTTTGATAGCTATTTTTATGTAAAAATGCATTTTAGAATAGTAATTTGATGGGAAGTATGTGATTGAAAAATAAGGAAATTTTTATTTATTTATGTGTAATATTATTTTAATAAAGAATGTGTGGTTGAAAAGAATAGAGAGAAAAATGCATTTAAAAAAAAAAGAAAAAGGGCATAGTATTGAAATAATCCAAAAACATAGGTCAAATTGCTGAAATCCATGATGACAAAATCACAATTAGTCAATGTAAAAGTACATAAAGGTCAATATACAAATGCCAAAACAGGAATAATTTACTGCATTAAACTGAGCTTAATTTATACTTTGTATCTCTGTTTCTTAATACAAAAGTAAAATAGAAAAAGAACAACCTGATAAATAAACTATAAAACTTAAAAGCAAAATCACAAGTTTATAATTATTATTTTCGATTTTAAGTGAAATTAACAAAAAAAAAAAAAAAAAAAAAATTTAAAAATAATTTTTTAAAATTAAAAAAAAAAAAAAAAAAAAAAAAAAAAAAAAAATCAGTTGCTGGTGCACAATTTGCTTCCTCTCTTTACAATCAACCTCTCACGTGAGTTTTCCAGCTTTTTCTTAATTGGTTTTCGGGTTTTCTTTCGGATCTTTTCTTGCCCGGATCTACTCAATGCACTGCAGATCCATTTCTATAGATACAGCACTGTACTAATAGTTTAGTTCAAGGTTCTCCTGTTTTGAGAATTTGAAGGTTTAGTTGTGAAATAATGAGCTGCAGTAGTGATTACCGCAGAATAGTTTGATTTGGTCGGCGGTAAGGGAATATTTTCGGTTGATTGTGTAAGTGACGATTCTGTTGAGTAATTCTGTTGGTTTCATTGGAGGTGCTGAATTTTTGTTAATGTGATTAGGGTTTGTTTTTGTTTATACGAGCGTGTGAATTACGATTGTTGTTGTTACACATTTTGAAGTGGAACTGTGGTTTTAATTGAAATTTGGAAATTGAGTAATCTTATGCTTTTAAGGTGTGATTTGTGGGTTCTTCATGATGGTATCGACGTGAATTCTCCACTGATGAGGTGCAAATTTGCGGTGGCCAAATGGAAGATGGACAGGTCGAGTTATCTTTTCACAAAAAAGTTTCATGTAGTTCTCACCATGTGCTGCCTAGTGTTTGGAATTTAGGAGGAATTTGATTGAAAGTTTATTAGGCGTACTGAATTGTGGATATACAGATGCCTCCATCCCCAGCAATGAGAATCTCTCCGAGGAGGGAGTTGAGGGCTGAGAATCATAAGAGAGGACGTAGCCTCGAGAGTGCGATTCCCTATCAGGAGAAGGATGATGATCTTGCTCTGTTCAATGAGGTGCAAAACAAAGAAAAAGAGAATTTCTTGCTTCAATCAAATGATGACTTTGAAGACGCCTTTTGTAAGTTTTCACACACTATACAATCTCCATACGATTTGGCGTCTAGTGAAGTATAATATTTATATTGGGATTCCTTTGTTATGATTGACTTACAACTGTTCTTGTTATTTATGGCATCCGACAGTGACAAAATTAAGACACTTTTCAGATCGTAAGGGTGGAATCACCATTCCTGCTCGGGGAGAGAGTTGTAACCTGCTCAATGCAGAAGGAGATAAAAATGATTATGATTGGTTAGTTGTTTTTCTCTTCTCATGAGTTTAGCCTTTATTCAGTTTCTTTTGGACGTAATTATTCAATGCAGATCTATCTCCCTTTCTGAAAGATCCTGTAGAAATTGTTAGGGATCCATGTATGTGCAGTTAATGCAATTTTTTTGGCTAATATTTGGAGTTTCCTCAGACACAAAGTAATGCTAATAACAGAAGGTGGAAGTTTGCCATTGTTAAAACTCAAAATGAAATCAAGAAAATATAATTTCCTTTTATGAGGGAAAACATATAGAGAAGTTTGTTTCTGATATGCTATATAACGGGCCTAAGTTCTTATTTAGCCTCCTTTTGTGAAGAATTTATAAACAGTTTAATAGATAAATAGATAGAAATGAACGGTTGATAAGCGAACAGTGCTTGTGGGCCCATTGAAATGTGTGGTTGAAAATGAAATTTGACAATTTATAAATGATACACAGTTTTTGCCAAATGGAGACTGTATTTTTTTTGTCACTAACATGCTATGCCGTTGATTAAAGGTTAATAACTCCTCCGGAGACTCCACTTTTTCCTTCTTTGGATGACGGGACACTACCAGTTAATGTAGTACAGAGGGGCAGGCCGAGGAGTCAACCTGTTTCAATCTCAACATCATCTACTGTAAGTAAATTAAAAGTCGATGAAATCAACTGGGAACTTCTATATTACCACAATCCATAAAATGCGTCGAGGATCTCTTTTCTCACTTTTCTAACCCTTCTTTCGTTTTGAAAAAATTGTTAAATATATGTTCAACTTCAGATAGAGAAGAGTTATAGAAGCAGTAGAGGTAGTGCGAGTCCCCATCGCCTTAGCTTATCTCCTCAGTCTGGCAATAGTATATCACAATCAAGGAACCGGACATCTTCAGAACCTCATTTAAGTCCTCCACCTAGATTGCATCATCTGGCTCCTGTAAGGAGACCATCTCCCCCACCAAGTAAGCCATCAGTACCTGCTGTGAGATCTAGTTCACCAAATCCTCAGAGGATAAGCACTGGTTCTGCTTCCCCATCACGGATGAAAGGCACCTCCCCTGTCAAGACAAGTAGAGGGAATTCCGCTTCACCCAAAATAAGGGCATGGCAATCTAACATTCCAGGGTTTTCATCAGAAACACCTCCTAATCTTCGTACATCACTGGCTGATAGGCCAGTATCATATGTGAGGGGATCCTCTCCGGCATCCAGAAATGGCTCCAGATCTGGGAGAGAATCAATGTCTCCAACTGCTACCAGAAGTGTCAGTTCCCCATACACTCCTGACCGAGACCTGTTTAGTTCCCACAGCAAAGGTTCAGCTGCATCATCTGGTGACGATGATAGGGAGTCTCTAAAATCCATTCCTGTGAGCAGCTCAGACCGCTCAGCTCCAAGAAACATAGGCGCTATCCCAAATAATAGAGCTCTGGGCTACTCTAAGAAGCCAGCTAAAATTGTGTCAAGTTCTGCTCCAAAAAGATCCTTTGACTTGGCTCTTCGACAAATGGTATTATAACTCTCTTTTATTGATATAATGATGCTTTCTTGATAATTAGACCATATGTATGTGTGTGAATGCATGCTTTCATGGCATTGAAGAGGAAAATTATTTTTATGGAGTCATTGTAAAATGAGGAATCCATCTTATAAATACAGTATAACCTGTATAAATTAATAACCTCTATTATATAATAAAATTTTCCAGCTCCGACTTGGCTATTGTGATAAGTTAATAATTTCGATAAATTGATAAGGTAATACTTTTCTGGAGATATCTATCTAAATCTGTGGTTCCATTCATACTATAAATTAACGATTTTCTAAAAATACAAATAAATTTTTAAGCTGGTACTTTCATTTAATATATTGCATGGTTAAATGTATGTGTATTGAATCCTTAATGTATGCGTTGAATGTAGTATTCATGAGATAATACTCAATTACTACTTATTTGATTAATGTATGTGTATTAAATGATAAATGTACTCTATAAATTAATAACTCTTTTAATTATAGATTTTGGATGGTCCCAACATTATTAATTTATAGAGATTTATTTCTAAGTTTTATTTCTGACATTTATTATGATGCTTGGGGCCCCATTATAGATTTTTCTGGACAAAGTTTTGTATTTATTACTAGCCTTGAACAATTTGTAGAAGTTTCTACTTCATTTCAATATTCTTTGAACAAATTCAGATATATTTGTAGTGTTGAACCATAAGGTAGATCCTGAATTTGAAAAACGACTTGTTGGAAATGTAATATACTACCCCATGATCCCATCCCTATTACCATGGCCAAGTGTAAAATCAATTAGCCCCTCCTAGCCATCCATTGTTTGCTTCTGTCCGCTTTCACATTTTAGCATATAATTACTGCTGTTATATTTATATAATTATATTTGTTGCATTTACTACCTTTCCAAAAAATTTATATATATTTGATGCATTTACTAAATTGAAAAGTTTTATGGTGTTTATTTCCATTATTATGTACTTCTGTGGTTGTTAATATCTATACACTTTTATTTGTCCTTAATAGATGCACTCATTTATGCATGCATATTGCATGTTCACGACACAATTGAATCTAAATAACTTCATTATAATGCATTTGCTTTGAGGCAAAGACAAAAATAATATGTTGGTCTTAGGACAATTAGTTTTTATTTATATTATTAATTTTCTTGCCGATTTGCAACTAATATCTCAAGATCCTTGAAATGTAATCGATCTGGATTTTACTCTTTTTCTTTGATTCATGCCTTTTTATTAAATGCCACCAAAATTAATGCCGTCATTATTCATTTTCCTGCCAATTTGTTAGTCTGATTCTTGTTTATGCTTTCCAATATTAGAAATCTTCACAGAAATGGAAAGGATGCAAATATTTAAGCCTATTTGGCCTCCATTTTTTAAAACTTATTTTTCCCCAAACTCATTTTCAACCGCCAATTTTATCAACTTTTAATCACATATTTATCAATTTTTATCAAAATTTACTAAAAATATGATTGTTAGCAAAACCAAACAGTGGCTTTGTTTCACGAGTTAGGAAAAAAAATTAAATAGAACTATTAATATATAATCATTTGGGTTTATGGGTTGTGGTCTGGTTTAGTCCTTGCAAAAAGGAGCAAGAATAAATTACTGACGATCAATACTGAGGAAAGTGATATTTCTGTCCTTAGTTTGATGAGCTCAACAATTTTTTAATAGTAAAAATGTGTAATCTTCTAATATGACAATTGCTATTTTTGATGGCATTGAAAGGGAAAATAAATTCAATGTCATTATAGCTCAATAAATCCATTGCCTTCATTATTTACTTCTCTGACATATAAGTCTGATGGCTAGGTTTTTCGAATCAAGACTTATCATGGCACCTTTTACGTGTGAACAGTAGAGCTTATATCAGCTTTCCCATTTCTTATGCAGGATCATCAGAAAGGTCGTCAAAATATGTTTAGGCCTCTTTTGTCCAGTGTCCCCAGTTCTACATTCTATGCTGGAAAAGCAAGTGCATCCCATCGTTCTATGATGTCCAGAAATTCTTCAATCACAACTAGCAGCAATGCCAGTTCTGATCAATGGACTACTGGTGCTCATGATATTGAAGAAAGTGAGCAAAACCAAGATGACTTAACCAGTGAATGTATAAAGGGACGCTATCCAGAGGAGCACGACGAAATATTTGTCTTGGATCAGGTTGATGCTTTTAATGAAGGTGTTGGGAAGAAAATCCACGAGGGATCACCTAGCAGTCAATATGATAAATTTATTGGCAACTCTCTGGTCAATTCTCAGTTTGTCATTGATGAGGTTTGCAGCCAGCTTGATACTACTATAGATGTTACCACATCTTCTGTTGTCTTGGACAGGAAAGATGATTATTCTGATGCTGAGGGTCTTGAGGATATGGCAATTTGCTCGAAATGTGGTCACAAGTTTGAATCCACGGATATGTTAATGGAAGGAGACCTATATTTTTGTCCAGAATGTAGAAGTTTGGAAGCACCTTCAACTTCAACAACACTTCCAAAGGTAATGATCGCTTGTGAGAACGCTTTAGGAAATTCAGTGAAGATTTTACAAAATGGGTCATTTGAAGCTTTGGAGTGTTCTGCACAAATTTCAGAACCATTGCAAGTTATAAGTGTTGATGAAGCCAGAGATGATCATCTTAACAAGATTACTGACGAGGGTCAACACTGTAGCCTGAACTTCTCACTAGATAACTCTCTTGAACTGTTGGCCGTGGAGGAAGTTGAGCTAAAAACCGAGAAGCAAGAAATGTGTCTACCATCTGATGGTGACACTGGCCATCAGCAGTTGGAGCATGCAAGGGACGACCCTAATTCAAAAGTTGATGTTTCAGAAGGTGCAGGTATATCTGTGCTGCTTAAGAGATCAAGTAGGGACAAAGGACGTGTTGTTCAAAGCAGGTGTTTTTCAGCAGCTAACATCAATTATGATGATTTCTCCCATGTGACGGACAGAATATACAGCATGAGAAGCTCCTTGGGGCATGGCAGTACATCTGTTTCGTCTTCCGTTGACTTGGGATCACCTAGGCAAAAAGAAACTCGTGTCCGACGGCAATTAAGTAGTGATAATTCGGATGTAGAAAATTACAGATATGAGATGATTATGAAGCACAAACGCTCCATATCTTCCTTGTCTGGTTCTTCAAGTCATGCTTTGAAAGTCCGAAGTGTCACAGCAAACTCTCATGAAGATAGTTTCGAGGTAGTTGCTGTCAACGAGGAAAAAGATGTCAGGAAGGTGACAGGCACAGATCCTTCTGCAAAATCACTGGCTTCAGAATTTACAGAAGAAGAAAGTATCTTCTCTAATGTTGAAAGTAACAAGAATTTTAAAACTAACTCTAAACTGTCATCACATATGATAAACACCCATCTAGGAGATACTCCCTTTGTATCAGTTTCGGAATTTGAAGAGCCAGCATCAAATGAGGATGGTGAGAACATGTCAAAGAAGTCAAGTAATCCCATGAATATAGAAGCATCATCAACCCTTCCTGAGGGTTGCACGCCAGCGGAAGATGCCTTACCTTTATGTGCTGATTGGGTGGATGTGGGAGAGCTTCCTAATCAAAGCTCTTCGGATGCTATATCAGAAATCGAAATTAAGAATGATGATACTGGTTCTCCTGATTCACAATCTGTAATTGATTCCACTGATTCAAAGAGCAACATGAATGAATTGCAGAATTCTTCTGTGCTGGCGGCATCCAATAATGTTATAACAGCATCTGTTAAAGAATCTGACCCCTCAGATCATGCTTGTGACATCCTTGGTAAGTATATATATCTATCTTTTGAGGTTTTTCGCTCGTCTACCCCCACATCTGAACATCTGACTGGCACCAAGTAATATCCCATGTTCTAAATTTAATTTCTTAAAGCAGAAAAACTCAAATTCATTTTGCAAATGGTTTAGGAGATCTGTTTCCCACCATTTACATCTACTAATTTTTCAGTTTGCATTATTTGCTTTTGTCTTTTACCATGATATAAATGATGGCATTTTCAATGTTCTGAAGATTGCAACTGTAGCAAAGCCTTCCAACTGCATGAATCTGCCCTGTAGTATGCTTATGAGGTCTTTGATCCTACTATGCAATTTGCTTCTCAATATTTGTGGTCTTATTTATGACCCTCATGGTGTTGAATTGCACATGTGCTATTTTTAATGCTTCTAGTGGAAAACCAACTTTTCCACTAACTTTTAACTGAAACAGGGCCCCTGAATATCCTTGCAACAAAACTGTTCTCACACCTTTACCATCTTTTTCAAGCAAAGATATAAATGCTTGTGCTGACGGTTTTTATTAACAACCGTATTTTCACTTGAGATTTCCATATTAAATTGATTTTGCTGTCAGTCTGTTTGGGTGAGTTTATGCACACATTTATAAAGCTTGAAATTCTAACCATATGTAGTTGGGAAGGGTTGGGTAAATTTACGTCTCTTTCTCTTGCTCCACCCCCTCCCCTGTGGATGTGGCTTATCTTGCTCACATAAGTAATACCAAAAAGGATTTTCCTCAATTATTTTGCGAAATATTCATTTTTTCATCAGGGGTTTTTAATGTAGCTTCATATTTTCTTCCCTTTCTCTCCCATCAATATTAACTATTAACCAGCTTTTACCCACTTCAGATCTAGTGAGCTTTCACTGTGACAAGTTTGTTATTTTATTTATATTGGTATTTTGACTAGTGACCTATTGGATAGGTAAATGTCATAACGCATATGGTCTTTGATTTCATTTTATTGTTTTTATGAAATCTCGCCTGTGCGCTGGGATGTGGAGTGGGAGGTTCGCTTAGGCTCTTGCATAAAAAATTTCATATGTTTTTTATGAGTAAACATAATTTTATAATTTTATTGGCCAGTCTAATGAATTATAAATTTTCTATTCAAGTTTGATGAATACTTGCTGTGCACAGCTTCTCTTTACCATAACTTGGCATGCCTTGAAGTTCTTGATCTTATGTTATTATCATCTTGCTTTCTTGTTCAATAACTTGACTTCCAGTTCTACATTCCTGGGTGTTAATACTGAAATCTCCTCTGTTATGACAGAGGAATCGACTGTCGTGCTAGAGGACCGAGGAGGAATGAAGGCTAGAAGCCTAACCCTAGAAGAAGCAACGGATACAATACTCTTCTGCAGCTCAATTGTCCACAATTTGGCGTATGAGGCTGCAAATATAGCAATAGAGAAAGAAAACTCGGTCCCATTGGTAGATTTGCAGCCGACAGTAACATTCTACGGGAAGGGCGATGTTGATAGAAGGGATATACGTTCCAGAGCAATGGGAAAACGTCCTTCCAAGTCCATGAAACCTCGACCAAAGAAATTGGAAACAGATAAAAAACTTCCTCCGGAAAAGAACATTGAAAGTGATGAGAAAACCGATGTAGCTACTACACATATTGTTGGAGTTCCAGATACCGTTGATAACACGAGACCTCCAAAGCTGGAGTCGAAATGCAATTGCACAATAATGTGAGTGGTTTCTTGTTTGCAGGAGAGGAATAGTTTTTTCTTGTTTGTTGCTAGTGTTTTGTAAGAAATACGTTGTAAAGTTCTAATTTTTACTAGGCTGATGATAGTGAATGGAATTGGAGATTATAGACCGCTCCAATTTGCCTTATTCTTGTTTGTTATTATTCATTTTTAATTTAATTTGGTGAAGTTACTCAATCACAGAGTCGATTGTGAAATTTTTTGTTGTGTAACCCAATTATTCTTGTTCGTTGTAATTGTTGCAGATATAATCATTTTTACTTATTTTTCCCACATAAAGTTTTTGATTAATTTCAATAAGTTGTTCGGTTTTGCAGTTATTTTTAAGAAGCTAAAAATGACTCACTGATTACAATTTAATGCCCTGTTTGGCACCCAGTAAATTAAAATTCATTTTTCTCTCTTCTTATCTACCATACATTTTTCATTAAAGTAATATTACGTATAAACCGAAAAAATCTTTCTTTATTTTTCAATCATATATTCTCCAAAAAAAAATTATTATTCCACTCATTAAAATGTGGAATAATGGAGCCCAAACAAGGTGTAAATTCGTTGTTATCATGGCTTTGTTTATAATTCACTAGAACTGCATCAAATTCTTTGACAATATCAATAAAGTAATATCCACTGATAGAGTTGAAGCCTTTTCTTATCATTATAAGACTTTAGTTTGATATTGTCATTCTTATAAATAATCAACTTTGCAAAAAATTAATTTTAAGTGTTTGATAAACATTTATTCATAGCTATTGTAATTGAGCATTTGGTAAACAAAAGAACTTTATTGCTTTGAATGTACAATTATTAATATGGATATGCATTATAATGATGTTATATTTATTAATTTTTGTATTATACGATACATTATAATTAAATTTTGATTAAAGGCATTATAATTTTTAAAAAAAAATTAATAGCATCCATTAAACGTCAACTCTTTGTATATTAAAATCAGATCAAAATTTCAAATCAAAGTTAACAATTATTTTTAACCACACATTTTATAAAATCCACAATTTTTAATCACACACTTAATCAACTTTTATCAAACAAAGACTAAACCTAAAAATTTATAAAACAAAAATAGAAGTATTTTTTATAAATATTTCAAATATATTTATATTCTCATATACACTAGACTTGTGCATCAATTTTAATTTTTCAATTTCTTCATTTTCATAAATAGAAAAATGATATCAAATAAATTTAAATTATTCATCAATGAGAAGAATGAAGAAATACCCTGCAACGATTTTAGGTAATTAGGAGAGAACGGAAACAAGGGGCTTTCACGTTTCAAGGCATTTCAACTGAAAAGGCTAAAAATAGAATTATTCGAAAAGCTACTAATATACTATTTTTCAAATTTGCTATTGACTTACATTCTAAAATAGTGATTTGCCATCATTTTAATTATACATCCTTTAATAAAATAATATTACATATAAATTCAAAACTTTTCCTTACATTCTTATGAAAATAATGTGGCTCAAACAAGTTTACCACACACTTAGCCCCCATTTGACTCTCATTTTTTGAAATGAAAATAGTGAAATAGTGTTTTTTTTAAATGAATTGTTGAAAAAGAAAGAAAAATTTTCGATTTATGTATAATATTATTTCATGGAAGATTGTGTGATTGAAAGTAGAATAAAGAAAAATAAAATGTAATTTGTGTTGATCTTCTGAATTTACAAATAACTTAGAAAAAAATATTTTTTTAACAAAATTATAAAATTCAAGCTAGAGTTCACTAAAAAAATATATTTGCTCAGTCACATAAAGATATGCTTACTTTTCTTTTCAAATAAAGTTAATAAAAATGTAATTAATTCCTCATTTCTATACTACCATAAAAGAGAGAATGAGAGTTTACTGTTCATTTTTGTCACACCCATTTTCACACTTAATCGGTTTGGGAACTGGTATGGTAACAGAAAAAATTCTATTCAAAAATACTATAGGAATTTTATCACATGCCATTGTCCACTGCAATATTTCTCCCCTTGCTTTGAATATGACACTCCATGCTCTTTCTCCTAATTCTCACGCTATTAATTATCAACCATATTTTATATATTTAAATTTTTAAAATTATATTAATAAACAAAATTATTATAAATAAAATGTTAAAAAAAAAAACACACATATTCACTTTTTGCATGAAGAAAAAAATTTACGTCATACCATATAATTTTTCTTAAGCAAAATGATGTATTGAGAAAATTGTTGCGAAAAAATAATAAATAGTAATAAAATAATTGATTTTTTTATTAGAAAAACGACTTATACGTATTTTTTAACACATACGTTTAATGTCCGTTTAACTATTTTCGATATTCACTTAAATCATTCGATGTGTCTATGATATAGTTCTTGAAATGCGCTTTGAGAGAATGTAAAACATTTATCAATTCGACTATCGTATAATCGTTAATGAATTTTTAAAGTTAGCTTATTATCGAAAATTTCGAAATATAGTTTAAAAATGCCTATTTTGACGTCCCGTAACATTTGCTACGATTAGCTGTTTCACGCACCATTAACGATGTGCAATACTATGTCGCAAATATTTCAAAATGATATTAAGAATGTAATATTTATATTTCATTTGATATCTCGTAATGAGCTTAAAAATGAATACAAAAACATATGTTAAAAAAAATAAAAATAAAATAACATTTAGCAAACCTTCGTGCACAGAGGTTTATGCAATTTTTTTTTTTAACTTTTATTTGTAGTATTTTTTTTATTAATATTTAATTTAAAAAAATTAAATATATCTAAATATTTACTTAAAAATGTTGAAGTTAATATCTTTTACCTATAAATAACTTTTACAATTATAATTTTTTTATTACTTTTAAATAATTTGAAGTGATTTTTTTACTTATAAGTAACTTTTTACATTTTAGATAGTTTAATCTTTTTATTAATATTTAATTTTAAAAACTAAATATATGTAAATATTTATACTTAAAAAATTTTAAGTTCACATTTTTTTTTATATAAGTAGCTTTTGCAATTATAAGAGAATGAGGGATTAATATATATATATATTTTTTTACCTATAAGTAGCTTTTACAATTATAAGTTTTTTTTATTTTAAATAACTTGAAGTGATTTACCATAAAAAAAGAGAATGATAGTTTACTGCTCATTTTTGTCACACTCGTTTTCCCACTTAACTGGTTTAGGAACTGGTTTGACAACAGGAAAAATTCTATTAAAAAATACTGTAGAAATTTTGTCACATGCCATTGTCCATTGCAATATTTCTCCCTTGCTTTGAATCTGACACACCATACTTTTTCTCCTAATTCTCACGCTATTAACTATCAATTATATCTTATATATTTAAATTTTTAAAATTATATTAATAAACAAAATTATTGTAAATAAAATGTAAAAAAAAAATATATATTCACTCCGTGCATGGAGAAAAAAATTTACATCATATCACATAATTTTTTTTAAGCAAAATGATGTATTGAGAAAATTGTTGCGAAAAAATAATAAATAGTAATAAAATAATTAATTTTTTTTAAGAAAAATGACTTATACGCATTTTTAACACATATGTTTAATGTCCGTTTAACTATTTTCGATATTCATTTAGATCATTCGATGTGTTTATAATATAATTCTTGAAATGAGTTTCGAGAGAATGTAAAATATTTATTGATTCGACTATCGTACAATCGTCAATGAATTTTTAAAGTTAGCTTATTATCGAAAATTTCGAAATATAGTTTGAAAATGCTTATTTTGATGTCCCGTAACATTCGCTACGATTAGCAGTTTCACGCACCGTTAACGATGTGCAATACTATGTCGCGAGTACTTCAAAATGATATTAAGAATGTAACATTTTGACTTCGTTTGATATCATGTAATGAGCCTAAAAATGAACACAAAAACATAAGTTACAAAAAAAAAAAAACTAACATTTAGCAAACCGCGCACACGGAGGTTTATGCACTTTTTTTTTTTTTTACTTTTATTTGTTGTACATTTTTTTATTAATATTTAATTTTAAAAAATTAAATATATCTAAATATTTACTTAAAAACGTTGAAGTTAATATTTTTTACCTATAAGTAACTTTTACAATTATAATTTTTTTATTACTTTTAAATAACTTGAAGTGATTTTTTTATTTATAAGTAACTTTTTATATTCTAGATAGTTTAATCTTTTTATTAATATTTAATTTTAAAAATTAAATATATCTAAATATCTATACATAAAAAATTTTAAGTTCACATTTTTTTTATATAAGTAGTTTTTGCAATTATAAGAGAATGAGGGCTTAATATTTTTTTTACTTATAAGTAGCTTTTATAATTATAATTTTTTTTTATTTTAAATAACTTGAAGTGATTTTTTTACTTATAAGTAATTTTTTATATTTTAGATAGTGTAATCTCTTCTTTTACTTTTAATTAACTTAACTGGTTTGAGAACTGGTTTGGCAACAGGAAAAATTTTATTCAAAAATACTGTAAAAATTTTGTCACATGCCATTTGAGTGCAATGTCACATTCACTGCAATATTTCTCCCTTACTTTGAATCTGACATACCATGCTCTTTCTCTTAATTCTCACGTTATTAATTATCAATCATATCCTATATATTTAAATTTTTAAAATTATATTAATAAAAAAACTTATTGTAAATAAAATGTGAAAAAAAATATTCACTCCGTGCATGGAGAAAAAATTTATGTCATACCACATAATTTTTTTAAACAAAATGATGTATTGAGAAAATTGTTGGGAAAAAATAATAAATAGTAATAAAATAATTTATTTTTTAAGAAAAACGACTTATACTCATTTTTTAACACATAAGTTTAATGTCCGTTTAACTATTTTCGATATTCATTTAGATCATTCGATGTGTTTATGATATAATTCTCAAAATAAATTTCGAGAGAATATAAAATATTTATCGATTCGACTATCGTACAATCGTCGATGAATTTTTAAAGTTAGCTTGTTATCGAAAATTTCGAAATATAGTTTGAAAATGCCTATTTTGACATCCCGTAACATTTGCTACGATTAGCCATTTCACGCACCGTTAACGACGTGCAATATTATGCCGCGAGTACTTCAAAATGATATTAAGAAATTTTGACTTCGTTTGATATCTCGTAATGAGCTTGAAAATGAACACAAAAACATAAGG